AAGTTGAGCACGAAGCTCCTATCTAATGGCAGACGTGCCAGTCTTATATAGAACCTTCGTTCTCTCTACATCGCCTACATCACCTGTCGATGTAGTCGACCTCCTATCGCTAACATCGACTGTCGATACAGGCGATGCGATTGATCACGTGACTACATACACGAGAAATCCTTGGATCGCTTAGCTAGTCTAAGCATCCCTATTTGCTATAAGAAACCTGGATGTGCCTGTCGAGGGTTGCGCCTCTTTATTATGACAAGTATCACGTGAGAACGTGATTCGTGACACCTTAGAACACTAGATAATAAACCCTAGTAGACTTATAAATAGTATACTATTTATCCTATTCCGCTATATTATAGTTATTTTACTCTATATTACCTATAGTTTTAATATAGGAATAGCTTCGATTTTACTTTTTTTAGTAGTTTATTATTTTTAATATATCCTTTTTATATTACTTTCTAGCTTTAGCGTATTTGTATTTGTGATTAGTATTAGTAGTACGTGCGTACGCGTAAAGTACTAGAATTGTAGACACTTTTACTCTACTTTGGAGTGCACGTTTCGCATATACCTCTCGCTGGAAGGGATATGAGAGAACGTCTCAAAGAGACTCGTGAGACACAGAACCCAAGTTTGCTGGCTGTTGTGCGCATGAGACAGCCTGAAACCAGCGTCGGTCGAGTCGCAGCGGAATCATCTGTTAAGGAGTGGTAGAGAAACGGCGGAGCATATGAGGGGGAGAGTAAACTAGCTGTTTAGGTTGTGATGAGAGATTTTCTCACGGGGACTTGGCGATATGAGGATTTTAGACGGCGCTGACATGTGCAAATATTTTACGGCTTGCCCGTTTCTCAAGTCACCTCTTATTAGAGGACTCAGCCTGTATGAAGTTTCATTCTCGAACCAAGAAGCTGTAGTGTAACATATGGTATGCTAAGCGAAGGTTGCCCCTTCAGCATAAGCGCGACTTTCGGATTTCTGGTTCTCGTGTTTCGTTGTGCTGAGAATAGCCAAATATACCCACCTTCAAGAGAAATTAGGTATAACGAACTGATGAAAACATAACCAAGGGGTTGGCAACACGACTGTGCTTTGAGTATGATACCACGATGGTAAATGGTAGTGTCAAATGGCAGTGTCAATGAAAAGATTTCAAATTTAGACAATTCCTAAACTAGGGTACAATTTCTTCAGAAGTACGTATATTGCTCCCCAGTTGTCATTCTCTCTTTATGCGAACACATTACAGCCCCTTCATTTAATTTGCAGGAAGCTTTATGTGCGCTTAGACCCTTTTGTGAATTTTGGTAGTTGTGTTTTTATTTCTCCTATTGGATGGCTTAACAGGGCAATCTACAACTGTATGCTTAAATCGTTTGGCCTTAGGGTTAGGGCTGAAAAGCACAAAAGTGGCGCAACACCCTAGGCTATATGTTAAGCTAAACTTTGGGCCTGTTTGGATTAGATTATTTTAGCGATTATTTATATAATCGCGAAAATAATCGCTAATCCAAACACGAGGCCAAATTATTTACTGAAAATATAATCGCATATAATCCCAGATATAATCGCTATACAAAAAAAAAAGCTCGTTCGAGGTAATATTCCACCCGATTATATGCCCATTCACACACAAAGTACTATACATTTTATAGTCAAAGTATAACACCTCTACATATAACACGTCTCGACACTTCTAATCTTACTATATACTCGACTTATTACTATCGCGGGTATAGAGAACACAAGTATAATAATAAATAAGGTGCATCTGTAATACAAAGTGCATTCGTAGTGCAAGGTGCATTTGCAGTGCCTGTCGTCTATATACGGCTCAAATGAGGCTCTATATAGACGCGTTTTAGACTATTCATGGTGTTGATAACAAGAATACAGTGAATAGACAAGCGGTGGTTCGTGCTTTAGATAGTGAATCTTACACTTAAAAAATCGTAAATAAGCTGGCAACTTTATATGGCGATTATATCGAATAATCGCAAAAATAGTCGCAAATATAATCGCTAACAAAATTCCAATCCAAACAGGCCCTAAAAGTGCAGCTATTTGCATAAAACCCTTGTTTCTTGCTAATTAAGTGAGGGGGTTGTACCTTTAAGGAACTCAATGCCGAGGGGTCTCCAGTCGGGAATGACATCCTTTAGTCCTTCCCAGATCCTCTCGATAGCTCTTTGAATGTCCATAACATACCCGTAATCTGGAAGATGCCGAATACGGACGAGAACCATACGGAGACTTTTCATCTCGCCTAATAGTGGTGGCATGCTTTCGCCACTATCGATATCATAACAGAAGGGAAAGTCAATCCCAAGCCGCTGGATTTTCAACCAAATAGTTTTAAAACGAACTATGATTTCTATGAGTTGAACTATCGTTACTAATGGGGCATAAAATACCAGAAGTATAAAACTCCCTATCTATAGGGAACAAAGTATCCCTCGCAAAAGAGAAGAAAAACCCACGCCGTGGATTCCGACTAGGAACAAAGTTTACGAATCCGTAGCTTGGATCGATACGTTTTGCCACATAGTATGATTCTCTGCAGACATAAAAGAATTGAGCATAATGAAGAGGATTTGTCGACGTTGGATCCAAATTGCCATGCCATGCGGCCGCCTGATAGTGAGTAAAGATTTTGCATCACAAGACGAGGGGGTGGAACAAGATACTCCCATACTTGTTCTCGTAGTTCTGTAGGAAGGTCTTTGAAATGGAGGAATTTGGCTCGCCATCCGTATGTGGGTGGTTGGGTAGATGTGGTTGGGGGAGCTTTGGCTTTTGGTTTGGTATTGTGTTTCTTTCGAGGCATGTTGAAGGGTGGTCTTGTATTGATTTTGATATTGTTGCCGATGGGCAGAGCCATGGGCTTTAAGATCCAACGCTTGTTTGAACAGTCGAATGCCTTTCAGTTTGATTTTGAAGCCTGTCTAGAATACCCTCGTTCATTCAATCTCTAGATTGTGGCAGAAACAACCTGTTATTTGTAGAAGCACATGCTCTCATCTTATTACATTACTGTCTGAGTTTTTCGCGAGCTTCAAGTGGATGTTTTCGAACTCGTATATCAAACATTTGTAATGACCCAACCCGCTTGTAAGTCCGTATCCAAAATGTTCCGTGATAAGAATATTCCAGTCTTGGCTGATTTTTAGGTTTCTTTAAGCGAGAAACAGGGGCGGACTTTATGGTGCCAGTATAGCAGATGTGAAGATGTAAAAACTAGCCGCATCTCTACAATACATTGTGTTTAACCCCAGTATCTGTGACAAAAATAACTTATATGACTAAAATTAAAACACCCTCCAACTTTGACTAAGTTTGACAGCTGTTTACGTATTATATATGCCCGGTAGTTATTGTCGTTGTGCTTATAATTTCTCTCCGGTAGAAACAATCTCACTTGAGTAGCAAGGTGGGAGTTATAAATTCAAAATAAACAAGGTTAAGTAGTAGATTAGCAGTTATAGTGGTCCAGCAACGAAGGTAAAAGTTTCACACTGGCACTCTAGCAAATAGAGCTATGATGGGGATTTAAGAATTTCAGTCTGTGGCATGTAAATTACCTTCTTAGAATTTCATTATGTTGTACTTCATTCTTTGTACTACACTGTGATTGCTAGGCATACTGTAACTACGTTTTCGTCAATGCCTCCATTTTCTATTTCTTCGAAATAGCCGAGCTTCCTTCTCTCAATGGAGGGATCCGATAGCGTATCCAACTAGAAGCCCACCCTTGCCGCATCACCCACCACTCATCTAACAGCATCGATTCCGTTAATTTCATAACATCAAAGATGAACCCGCGCAACACTGATGCCTGGAAAAGCTCCAAGTTTCCTTCTATAATTTCTCTTGCCTCCTCTGTAAGCCCTTCCATCAAACCCGTCCAGAATTGCTTCTCCATAAGTTTATACAGATGACAACTACTCCATTGTGACAAAAACGCAATGTATTCAATGGCGGTTCCACGGTAGCGCGGGCGTACAAGTTCCTCCCAATCTATCACTCCAGTGATTTCGGAGTTTTCGTCAAGTAAAATGTTGCCGCGATGTAGGTCGGGGTGCCGTAAGAACAAGGGGAGCTTTGTGAGCTCTGGAACTAAGAGGAGCAAATTCTTGATTGTCGGCTGCCAAGAACTTATAGGCTCCAGAAGAATCATTTTCTCAAGCAGTGGAAATAACTGTATCAGAATTTGGGATCTCAGCTTGTCCGATTGAAGTCGTATAGAATGACTGACCGCACACCTTGCCAAGCGAACCAGCAAAGTTGAGAAATTGATGATCAGTCCATTCAGCGCGCGTGTTGACGTCGTTGAGAGTTCTTTCCGGAATGCATGGCATGAGGTATGTATAACCATATTTTTCTCCTAATAAATTATCCCTGAGAGCAATGATCATTGGTACCTTGTCTCCGAGAAGCTGGCGTGCAATTTTGTGGATAGAGTCGTGAGTTTTATGTAGAGGAGAGGATCGGAATTGGATAATGACATGTTGGTCACTTTTGAGCAGTACATCAACAGTGTCGCTGTACCCTCCTTGACAAGGTGTAAAATCCGAAGATATTGACTCGATGCCGAGCTGGCGGGTAGCGAGATCTTTTGCGATTCCAAGAAACTATAGGATCTCGGAAATAGTATGCTTCGGGCCTATATATCTGAAATGCACTTGGGTTTATAGGACCCTTGTAAAGGTTTGCAGAGATACAGCTCTTGGGTCTGCCCTGTGGAGGAAAGAACTGAGTCAAAAAGGCAGGTAGCTTACGTTGAAGTCGCTAGGAAAATAAAATACTTCCTCGCACAACATTTTCATGCCTAAGGGTCGTTTATAGACTTTCAGGATTCTGGCAGGTTTCAGTGGATTCTTTTGAAGTAAAACGATAAAGACATCCAATTTTGGAAACCCATAGCCTTTCTTGGTACTAACAGGTTCTGTGATATAGACAGCCTGTAGGTGATATGTACCCCATATGATCTTCAGCTAAACGTTGACTGGGTGAATTGAATTTGTGGCTATGGAAGATGGCATTCTAGTCAAACTAGCTAGGAAAGAGAGTCTAAGACTCCCTGTACTAAATGCATATATGCTAGCGCTTGGGCCAATATCACATACTAGCGTAGAGTAATCACCCATGTGAGCTCTATTCAATAGGCTTACGACTGGTCAAAATGCAAATGTTTACACATATTCAAACAAAAACCTATTCACCTGAGTAATGATGTCGTTCTAATACCGCAATCCATCACTATAATGATAGTTTAAATCTTCAATGAACATGAGGAACAAACTTTGTAATTAGAGGTCACACAAGTAGCTTTTTGGTTAGACTTCACCATATCAGCTGCTAGACATTCACCTCTTTGCCTTTTTAGACTAGCGAATGGGGGTCTCTAAAACTTGTATACTTGTCAATATAATTGAGTGCTATGGCTCTGAAGGTATATTACATTTTTGAGAATAGTTTTATCAATTTGAGAAGTGTGGTTCTTAGGAATTAATTAAAGATACCTTCATTGTTGTTAGACTTAGGCTTGGATTATCTTGAGGGTCTTTTATAAATGAGAGAAGAGTTGTTTTCATCGTACTAAAGGAGGTAACAGATGAAAATAGCTCTTAGGCTTCAGCGATCACCACCACTGGAGGTAGTAGCCATTAATCCTATCCAACTCCTGCTGATAAGTATTGCGCCTAAGGCTGTGAGAAGCTTTTAAAATAATGTTGTCTTATGTAAGTGTATTCAGAATAGTTACCATACGTCTCACAGTGTCTGCTATTTCGATCAATAATACACACTTCACGTCATCTCTAGTCAAGAGATGGTGATCAACTACCACAAAGCTCCAAGCTCACTAATACAAATCAGTTTTGACTTCACATCCCCCTGCCCACTAAAGTGACACATCTTCCGCATCATTTGGGGTAAACTTTGCACATTCAATCTTTGTACACCAAAAGTAGACACCAAAAGGTTTGTGCACGTTCTTAAGCGGCTCATTCAAAAGTTACCCCAAACAATGTAGGAGATGGTCTATATATCTGGATCATTTTGAAATTCCCTTCAAGACGAGTCCTCACAAAGTTGGCGAAGATGTCTTTTCAAAATACTTCTACTTGTTTTGGGGAGGACTCAAATGAAAGACATGCGGCATGTCTTATTGATTCCACAGAGATTGCAGGAAACGGTTCTTTTACAAGACAGCCAACTCTTTCGTATTCTCCAAATAGGAGCCAGAAGATTCCGTGCCAATTACAGAAGCATTTTGGAGCAAATATAAATTAGTTAAAAAGACATAACGTGCATGTATAGCGAACCGGCCAAACAAGCGAACCGGCCAAAACCCGGCGACCCCACCACACCTCCACGAAATATTAAATTTCTCTACAAAGAAGGATGCCTCTGAAAAATGACGAAAGCCGGTTAGTCTTAGCTATCCAAGCTATGCAAAAAAACCCAAATTTACGTGCTCGAGCTGCTGCCAGGACCTATTCTGTAGACCACCGGAAGCTAGGTCGACGTTTGCTTGGTATACCTTCACGACGCGATATTTTAGCCGATTCACGGAAAATGACCGAGCTAGAGGAATCAGTACTTGTTCAACATATCCTCGACCTAGCTACAAAAGGATTTCCTCCGCGGATATCTGTAGTTGAAGATATAGCAAATCGACTTCTTGAAGCACGCGACGCGCCACGCGTCGGGACGCGTTGGGCTTATAACTTTGTTAAGCGCCGCCCAGAACTCCAGACACGCTTCCAACGAAAATACGACTATCAGAGAGCTAAGTGCGAAGATCCAGAAGTCATTCGTGGCTGGTTTGAGCTTGTACGAAACACAATAGCGAAGTACGGAATCTACGATGCAGATATCTACAACTTTGACGAGACTGGGTTTATGATGGGCGTTATCTCAACTGCAATGGTTATTACAAGCTCAGAAGGACGTGTAAAAGCAAAAAGAGTACAGCCTGGTAATCGGGAATGGGTTACAGTAATCCAGGGGGTTAATGCCCAAGGCTGGTGTGTTCCACCGTTTGTGATTGTTGCCGCAAAAAATCACCTCGCTTCTTGGTACCGAAACAGTGGATTTCCACCTAACTGGGTGATTGCTATTACTGAAAATGGTTGGACAACAAATGAGAAAGGCATGGATTGGATTCGACATTTTGAGAAGCATACAAAGTCCCAATCTATTGGTGGTTATCGTCTATTAGTCCTCGACGGCCATGAAAGCCACCACTCCGACGAATTTGAGGAATATTGCAAGGAAAACAACATTATCACTCTTTGTATGCCTGCTCATTCTTCTCATATACTCCAGCCGCTCGACGTTGGCTGTTTTAGCCCTTTGAAAAGGGCATATGGTCAGCAAATTGAAGATATGATGTGGGCTCCGATCATCCATATTACTAAGGATGATTTCTTTCCTGCCTTCCACGCCGCATTTAATATTGCAATGACAGAAAGCAATATACGAGGAGGGTTCCGAGGGGCTGGGCTTCTTCCATTTGACCCAGAAAGTGTAATTTCTACACTTGATCTTAAGTTAAAGACGCCAACGCCTCCAAACTCCCCCCCGTATTCCGCTCAGCCTTGGGTTTCCCAGACACCAAATAACCCTACTGAAGCCTTATCACAGACTGCATTTACTAAAGATCGAATTTTACGCCACCAAAGTAGCTCTCCAACCCCTATTTACGAGGCCATTGACCAGTTTACGAAGGGTGCATCAAAAGTAATGCACCAGATAGTACTATTGAAAGCTGAGAACCAGAGACTTCGACAAGCAAATGAAGTACTAAGTAAGCGCCGTAGAGCTAAAAAAACACGCCTAGAGCAAGGAGGATCACTTAGTCAACAGGAAGCGCAGGACCTACAGGATGATAGAGACGTTGGTGAGCAGGTAATGCAGGAAATAAAGAGAAGTAGTGGTCGGAAGCCGAGGGAAGAATCACGTGCACGGCGCTGTGGCAACTGCGGAGAGACTGGTCATAATACGCGCACCTGTAATATTATAGAGGAAGTATCTGAGGAAGAAATTTCTGAGTAGTGTTTTTTAATTAGAGGCGTTGTGGTAGAGTTCTTACAATTTCAATCGCGAATGTAGAAAATTTTGGCCGGTTCGCTTGTTTGGCCGGTTCGCTATACATGCACGTTACCATGCTCAGAAAAGATTGCCACAACCACACGACGGTCACCTTCAAATATAAATCACGATGCAGGGATTCAAACACAAGAGACCAACTTTACGGTGGTGCTTAAGAAACGGCGAAGCCTTGACAACAACGCCTTTCCTTGAGGAGCATCCAGAGAAAGTAAAAAGCCAAGATCATACTCGTTTATTCATGAAGCTGCCGGTAGAATTGAGAACCCAGATCTGGAAATACTTCATGACTCCCTCACGTATCATCTTACATCGACGTGATCAAGGATGTGGACTGAGTCGCATGTATCCTGAAAAACAAACAACATGGGAATGGTTTGTTGTTGATGATGAGAAGGAAATTGCTGGGTATAAGGTGTCTCTGCTTTGTAGAGAGATTTGCAGAGAGGCGGCAATGATCATATCACCAGATAGTACCCTTATAAGCTACACCCGCGCCAAACATCCAAGATTCCACAGAAATGGGTTTTTCTTCTCTTTCGCAAAGGATATTCTCTTCACGGCTTGCATCGAACAGCCGGTAGCAGGTGAGTCGAAGAATATGCGATTAAATGATTATACTAATATGTCCCACTATAGATATTGAAAGAAGCTTCTTCTCCAAAATACAAAACGTAGGAGCGGTCATGGATGGCTCTAAGTTCAGGATTTCTGGCAAACGACTTAATCCAGGCAGGTTTGGAGTTTTTCTTCGCGAGATGAAGAGCCTTCGAACCATCTACCTTGTCTATTTTCGAGAGTTTTTAGGAGCATCAGACACTAGGGAGAGAGATAGGAAGAACGTTCAAGACAGATGGGAAAAGCAGAAGGATTTCATTCCAGACTGGAAGCCTCTCAACCTCGAGATTGTCAGGTCATTTGAGCTCAAGCCTGGTGATAGGCTGTACGGTATTCACGATTCATCTCTCTCTAGATCCACTCTCCGTGATTCTGACTCTGAAGAAGAGTCTGAATAAGGGGAATAAGTTATCAGGCACAAGATAAGAGTAAGGTAATGGAACATAACATCTATCCATAGAATGTTTTGCAATAAACACCTATTTCCATGATCTACTGGCCTATTTCCTCTCATTCTCATTGATCTTCTCTCTCCATCCCTATCCCCATCTCACAACACCTGCCGTCCCCAAAGTGCTAAGCACCAAACACCCTGCACTGATACAAGAGAACCACCCAACACCAATCTCTTCAACGGCAGGTAATACAACTGCACTCCCAATCGCAGCAAAAAGAAAGCGAATCAGGTAGTTACCAGCAATAACCTCTGCTGCTCGCTCCTGAATCACATCTAGACAGTATGTGTTCAAACTTGGAAAACAAAATATTTGTGCGACTCCTTGGACAAACATCGCAATCACAGGGAGCGCGATACCGCCGAAGCGATACTGGATGGAGAAACCGTAGAGGAGCATGCAGATAGGGATTATTACGCCCATGAAAGGCAGGTGAGAGCGCAGGCGATCTTCGGGAATTCGATAGCCTCGTTTCTGGATCCAGCGCTTAGTAATGTGGTCTGCCCTATGTTTCGATTTTGAAGTCATTAGGTTTCATCAGTTAAGTAGAACATTGACTTTGATAACTCACCATCGCCCACCAAAGAATGTTCCAAAAATATGACCACAACCAGGAGCCAGGTAAAAAAGACCCGACAGTATTGGCGTCGTCAAATTGAAACGCGGATTCAGGACGTCGCGAATTGGCGTGGAGAGAGAATACATGTTCCACATCAGACTGGACGTTGCGAGACCGACTAGGAGGAGATTTGGGTAGCGAAACAGTTTGATGACTCGCCAAGGATTTGTCAATATGAAAAGGATCCTTGCTTTCTCTCGCAGAGGAAGATTGGCTAGGTCCACGCTTTTCTTACGATGAATTGTTTCAGGTAGGACAATAATGGTACTGATTAGGGCTATGGATTGATGGTTTGGAGTCAGTATATTTTTCTGAATATGGATGTATGTCCTCGCACATATTAGGCGAGGCAAAGGAATAATCGAAGTGTCTCTGCAATATACATACCAGCCCCAGCAAGCGCTGCTTGAAGATAGAAAATAACTCTCCAACTCGTGTATGTTACAATCACACCGCCAATGAATGGTCCGAGGGCAGGTCCTATCAATGTCCCTGAGAAAAACCAACCAATTGCAGTTGCTCGTTCTGAGGGGCGGTAAATGTCACTGATACATGCCGAACCAATGATGAGCATTGGCGTTCCCTCGCACGCAGTCAGAATGCGGAAAATGAAGAAGGAGCTTATGTTGGGTGCAAGTGCTGTGCCTAGGAAGAAGGCAGTGAAGAAGAGGGTAAGTGTGATACAAATCTGTTTTATAAATCAGAAATAAGATACGAAAAAGTAACTATGGGAACGGGGAACAAACTAAGCGACGACCGTAGACTTGACTTAATAGACCCCAAAGGCATGGCGAAAGCCCCGAGAAAAGAAGATATAATCCATTGCTCAGATCAATTATGGAGTTCGTAGCATTGTACGTTGATGCTACTTCTGGGGTTGCAGAGAGGATACTGGTGCTTGAGATGGTGGTTAAAAAGCTACAGAATGAAAGGAGTGCTACTATATTTCTTTTTCGAGATGGTGATACACGGTTGTATATTTCGTCTGAGGGCTCGTTATCGGGTGTTTGAGACGAGTCGGGTAAGCTTGAGCTCTCTAACTTAACACTTTCGATATCGGAGTTTTGCGGTATGTTTACTGGACGTTTTGTGGCCGAAATTTCTGTGCATGAATTCGTCGGCTTCTCAATTGTTTCCTTGTCTGTCATTTTGAAATTCGAGCTAGTAAGCGAGTTGGATTGAGAAGATATACCGATAAAGCTTTCCGATAGAGGGTGGGCGCCCAGCTTTAACAGGAGAAGGAGATATTTTGGGTGAGCCCACGAATATTGAGAGACTGTACGAAATGCGGGATAGTAATCTGATTTGTTGATTGTGGACCCAGTGATTGCCAAAATACCGCGAATAAACTTAAAGCCAATCGACAACCTATAGGAAAGTCTCCTATTACCCCGTGTATTTTGACAGGAACCCGTTTTCTACCTTGAGTAAAGTTTTGGGAGACCTTCTGTCACCATAAGAGCAGTTGTGAACAGAGCTCCGTACCCAGCTGGCGAAAAACCAACACTGATATGCATAATAACGGCGATTATTCGTAAATGTGGCCATATCTCCGTTGGTTTGAAAGTTATTGGATACCGAAGCCCCGGAGTTACGACCGAATCCATGGTCTTCGCAAGTTATCGGTGACGAAAAGATTCAATTGCTGCGGGGAAGTAGTGGGGGTGATGTGTTGTGAAGTTCGATATTTCAACCTCACCCTTAGCTATAGTTACACGATGAGCAAATGAGGTTCGGTTACCAGTTAAGGACGGGTTGGTTACCGAGAAAGCTAGTCGGAAATACGGGATTGTTGCGTCGATTATTGCTGTATATGTGAGGTATCACTTTTCACAGGGGTAATTGAGGACTAGAGGTCGGGCGTGTACATAATCTTCTGCAGCCACAGGAAAAACTAAAAACGAAAGTTTTAACTCTAAGCTTCGCTGAATTGATCATATCATAACTTGGATGTGAAGATGCGATACAAAAGGGTTACACAGGATCCGTGCCGCCCGTCACGCAATTCTCAAAATCCAACCTTTTGACACACGTTTTGACATGACAAGGTATCTCTTAGGATTAAATACTACCGAGCTCTTTCGAACGGTAGCGCTAACTGTCACAAATTATCTCCGTCGTACCCTTGCTGTCGAACTTATATCTCGCTTACGCTGTTAGCCCCCCCGCGTCCTAGATCTCTTTGACTCCCGCTCTCGCTGTTGGTATTGTTATGAGTTCATCGCGTCTTTATACTGGCCCTTGTATAAAAAGAAGAATAACTGGTGGAATTAAAAAAGAGTTTTGCGGAGTTATCTCAATTATACGAAAACCCCTAGTCAATTATGGAATAAGCGATGTTTACGAGTACTTTGAAATAAGCCACTGTGGAGTTGCGATCGAGATGAACGCCACGGACAGCAGCCGAAATTAAAAGCGTCTGAAAAGATTCGATAACCAGAGTGTGTGTCAAGGCTCATAAGGCCGCTTGAATATTTGTTGTTGGTCGCACGAATTGCCTAATCTATTCATGGCTGTCGCTATACGGCGTTCTTTCCACCACGCGGGTCAAGTCTTATGTGAGCCATTGTTGAGACAAATTATACAAGGGAGGTTCAAATATTGGATAATGAAACGTTGTTTTTGCCCCCGGCGCCGTTCCGTAGACCAAGGATCGATCGTAGAATGTCAGAGTGTTTCTGCTCTCGAAAATCTCACCCTTCCCCCTTCCCCCTTCCCCCTCCCGTAAGACTCTCTGTCTTAAATAAGACACAACTCAACGAGATCACATAAATAACTGCCTGTGCAAAGGCGCTTTAAATTCAGCTCTCATATTAGCAACCTTACTCAGATACTTCCAACAGCCTACTCTCTGTATCATGGCAACGACTCAAACCCGTCCCAAGTCCCAAGATCCTGAGCGTCGAGTTGCAAACTTGGCAATCATCAATTATGAAGAACTTCTGCTTCAGAAGCCCGAAGAGATTGAGAAACTATACTTGGCTTGCGCCAAGTGGGGTTTCTTCTATCTTGATTTAAGTGGCGACAACACAAAAGACTACCTTAACAATGTCGACTCTTTATTTGCTGCTTCCAAGGAGTATTTCGCCAAGTCGCTTGAAGAAAAGTTGGGTGACAAAAGAGAAGAGCTGAGTATCTACAATATCTGCCGGTGAGTTATTCTCGGAGTGGCATGGCCAAGCTCGCTAACATTAATGGAGGTACAAGCCCATGGGTTCTCTTGGGCTAGACGCTGGCAATGCCACTCAGAAGAAAAATGGTTCTGAGAACTTGAGAGTATGTTTTCCAAAGCCATATGATAATAACACCACTGACCAGCTTTCAGGTCCCCGTTGATCTCATCCACAACCCGACCCTCAACCCAAACCTTTACTTTCCGACAGGAATGAAGAAACATGAACAACAATTCGCTAGCTTCATCAAAAGCTCACACTCCGTGCCCAATCTAATAGCCAAGAATCTTTTCGACTACTTGCAACTCGAAGGCAACAACAGATTTGAAAACTTCCACAAGCCAAACGAGCAATCCACTTCCTCCGCCGTGCTCCAGCATTACCCCCTCACCGATCTCCCACCCCAAACTAGCGCTGGCCACTTCACACACACCGACACAGGAAGCATCACAGTCCTCTTCAATACTGAATGGAGGCTCCAAGTCTTCTCCCCGGAGACTGAAGATTGGGAATACGTTCCACAGCGCAAAGACTGTGCCATCATCAACGTAGGAGATACACTGAAATTCATCTCCAACTTCAAATTGAAATCCAGTCTCCACCGCGTTATCCCATGGCACGGACCTAATGTCTCCAACTCCCGCTATGCTACCATATTCTTCCTTCGCGCAAGCAATGATGTGAAGTTCCGTGACAGTGAGGGTGTAGAGTGGACTGGGTCTGGGTGGTTGGAACGTAAGTTTGAGAATTATAGGATCCCACACGAAGAACAGAAGAAGACTGCCATATCTACAGGTAAGAAGGGGTTTGTTGGGCTTTGGGATCAGCAGAAGCAAGCTGTCTTCTGATTGATATTTCGCTTTAGATGTGCTTCAGACACCTTGCTGTCTATTGAAGTCTATTATTCAATATTATTCAAGCGGTCGTTACAAAATAAGTCAGTTCTAGATAGGGATCCCACAAACAATGACAAGTCATCCACAAATCCCTCTTTAGTTGTGTGGAAAACAGGCATTCTTGCTTATGAGATTTCCTCAAACTTGTGCCTTACCGGTCACAGAAGACTTACAACCAACTGCAAACATGAAATCCTTAGCCTTCTAAAATGAACATTCCAACTTGCCAGACCTATTCTAACAAGCATATTACAACGACAATGATTCGAACATTTGAGTTCGGGCACACCTCACACAGCATGAAGCCCATTTTCCAATACTGAACAATTATATCTCCCTTCCCCGAAATATTAACACGCGAACCGTGTTCGGGCCTCGCGATAGTAATCCGTCCAATCCTGGCTTCACGAGTCACTCTCACAGAAGCCAGAACAACTTTATTTACAATAATAATATCTTGGTGATAACTATGAAACACATGGCACGGCAGTCAGGATCAATCCTCCTAGAAAAACAGGGGTGTCCAGGTGCTCATAAATCCCAGCCTCTCGCTTAGCTATCAATTCAACATATAGGCTAGCATCAGAGCGTAGAGTTGATACTGTATAACCTACTAGCGGAAGTTTGGCCGTCTTCTATCGGTTACTAGTACTACGAATGGAGTGGCAATGTATATTACTCTCCTGACGCTTTGGTACGGTGGTGCCATATCTCCAATATACTGACTGCTCCCCGATTTCTGCCCCCATTAACTGTAGGCGAGAGCAATTGCAGACTTCAGAAGTGGCCATTCTCAAAACACCTCACTCATGTAAAGCATATCGTGCCTCCCCCCCATGGGCTGATATCCGCGGAGCAAATCAGCTCTAAAGTAGAGTGGGGCGGGGTGGTCCTCGCTAAGCGAACCCCAAAACAACAACAACAAGAGTCTCAGAAATAAGCCAAAAGAAAGATAATTACAAAATATCTTAAACCGAAAAACTAGCAAGAAGACTCTCGGGCCTCTGATATTCGTCTATTACATTCTATTGAAATAGTGTTCGGTAATCTTACCTCAAAAAATGAATATATACCTCCATCTTTCCCTCCAGAGAATCTCTCGAGTATGCTTTACAGGCCCCGATTTTGGTGCTTGATTACTACGCCAAATAATTCTGTGGGAGTATAGGATCTTGGCGTGAAACCATCCAGGGGTATAAGGTAGGCTAGTGGTGTACTCTCCTGAGTTAAGCGAAGGCCAGGGAACAACCAGCAGCCAAGAAGAAAGGAGGGGTAGGAAAATCAGGTTACATTGTGCGATTGCTCCTCACCATCTTTGAAATCGCAACTTGAACACAGCCCAGCTACCTATCGGTACCTGGGCTGTTGATATGTCGTTGTTTTGACCAAAGAAGGGACGAATGTGATCTTGACCTACTTTGGTTGGAAACCTAGCTTCTCAAACTTTTCATGGCCAGAGAAGGGCGGATAAAGGATCGGGAGCTTTATGAGCAGGGACGGAGGATCTTATGCAGATAGATTAGAAATCTGATTTTTGAACTCTATGAGTAAATTAAGCGAATCTACAATATTCCCAAGTCTTGTCTATATTTTTGAATCCGAAGGACTGGCAGGTCCCTGATTCTGAGCTCGAGCACGTTGATAATCTGCATCTGTAACATCTGATCCACCAGGAACTTTCTCGCCTAGCTTACCCATTCGTTCTAGATTCGCAATCATAGGTTCGTCACCAATATGCGTATTAAGCTATGTCACAAATTAGCTCACATGCCTCTCTTAAACGTACAAGAACTTACTTCAAAATTTGGCTCCTCTCCATACGCTATTCTGGCTGCATCTACTAGAATTCTTGCCGTCATACCCCATACTTTATATCGCTCTACGACATCCGATTCTTCCTTTTCAACATGCTCGGGTATTGCACCAGGTCGAATCCTGGGGTTGGTAACTTTCTGATTGTTCACTGGAACGAAGAATGAATGCATACGCCAGCGAGAATCATTCCATTCCATCCACTCGCCTTTATACCAATCCGTTATTTTCCCCGCAATAGGGTCCCCATGTCTCACTTCATCTTCTTTGCGGAGAAAATTGTGGAATGGTGCTGAGAAGACGGCGGCAACTTCTTTAGCATCTAATCTTGGAATCATATTCTCTTCGACATCTGAATGCTTATTTCCACTTTCGTCGTCGGAGTGTAAGAATGCTACGCATGGTCGAACTGCTAACGCTGTCCGTGCTAATGAATATGGGAGTTCGCAGAGGTGTTCGATTCGAAAAGGATGGGGTAGAGAGGCGGAGGATACGGGGAGTCCGATTTCTTCAGAAGCTTCACGTCGAGCAATCTGCCATGGTGTTTCTTCCAAGGTATCTGCCTTTCCACCAGGGAATGCAGCATGTCCAGAGTAATTTCGAAGGGTGGAAGCTCGCATTGTTATTACAACCCGTAAATCACCATGTCGGTCTGCGAATAAAAGGAGCAGGACGGCAGCTCGACGACTTAAAGGTAGGCGATCCCATACTGCAAATGGTGGAGATTTATACGCTCTCAATCTTGCGATTGCAGCCTGTGGATATAGTTAGAATTGGGTAATTGCAGCTGTGGAAATACCGACAATTACTAACCATTGAGGCTGGGGTTAGGGGAGCCATGCTGCTGGCATCAAAGTATTGCGACTCTTGGATACTCGAGATAAGCTCAGCTACTTCCTCGGCATCAATCTTGATGTTCTCCTCATCGTTGTATTCGACGTCTTCCTGTTGTTGTGATCCGGACATTCTTGTGTTGCGAGTCAATGTTTGTATGGAAGCTCGGCGGTGACGTCGAGGTCTGCGGGGAACCTCGGCGTAGTTCTCGGAAGGCCGGGAGCTTCGGTCCGGCAGCATAGTTTTATGCTATCTCTTCCTTGCAACTCATTGATTGCCATCAATGGCTCTTGATGAATATCTTTTAATATTTTTGTTCTTTAAGCTATATACAGAAAACTGGAGGGCATCTTGACGTTTTGGTGTTGAAACCAAAATCTATTGTACATACAAAACTCGTGTCTACCGCATTCAGTTCCGGGAAAATCGATGAGTGATCGCTTTCTATGATTTACACAACTTTTGAGTCCAAACCGAACGAGATGATCGAGATACATTTTCGGCTCTTTCCAATCAATTTGCAAACCCCGCTCGGCCTATTGAAGAAGTTGAAGCAATCGGCGTTGGCAAGCGAGCTAGGTTGCTGACAATATTATCTGGTTCAGCGGCCAATGGCTGAGCAATATTTCATAATTCCTCCATCACCATCAAACCCCACAAACCCCGTTCAGTACTTTGCTCTTCAAAGAACCAGACGTAATTAGAACTAGCTTGATGAAAACTCAATTGCCCAGCTTGGCATCATCTTCCCTCAAACCCCGGCTGGATAACATTCGATAGTCTCGATACTAAACCTCGGAGATGGTTATGGTTCACGATTGCGCAATGCCGCCATTGACAGCCACGCTGGCTTTGTCAACCCGATGAGGTCAGATCGCCCGGGCCCAGGTTGCCCAGTAGCTAGTAGATAAGCTATAAATGAGGGAGATTGCTACCTATCACTTGAACCAATAAAGCTTCTTCCATCACGATTCTACAATTACAACAATTCTTCAAAATCCTCAAGTACATAGGTACTCTCTCGTCCTAATACAGTAGTCAAACAACCGAAATATATTTGCAATGGCTACACCAAATCAGCAAAACTTGGTTGACTCCAATAAAGTCTATGCCAGTAATTTCACCAAGGGAGACCTGGCCCTTCCTCCTGCTAAGCAATATGCCGTTGGTAGATGACTCTCTTCCACTTGTATATATATCAACACTAACTCTGTAATCTTACCTCAGTAACTTGCATGGACGCAAGAATTGATCCCGCTGCTGCTTTTGGTATTGATCTTGGAGATGCTCATGTAAGTCACTCCCCCAGGAACCAAGAAAGGCCGTAAAGCTTCCTTCTTCCGGCTTTACAAACAGCCATTCGCCGTTCAAATCCAGAAATCAATTGGTGACCCGTTCATTTTTAGGTAATAAGAAACGCAGGCGCCTCTGTACAAGACGCCCTCCGAAACCTAGTCATCTCCCAACAACTCCTCGGCACCAAGGAAATTATATTGATCAAACACACGGGATGTGGGATGTTGGCTTTTGAGAATCAACAAGCTACAGAACTCGTGCGCAAGAATCTGGGAGAGGAGGGAGTCAAAGCCATAGCTGAGGGTTTTGGGGGGCAGTTTCTACCGTTCTCTGATTTGGATGAGAAGGTAAGAGAGGATGTTGAGTGGTTGGAGAAGAATAAGGCTATTGCGGAGGGTGTGAAGATCAGTGGATGGGTGTACGAGGTTGAAACTGGGAAAGTTAGGAGTGTGAAATAAGTCAGTGGTGACATATGAGTGTGATTGAAATGGTGGAACGAGTGCTTTTGCGGAGTTGGCTGTTTGTGAATTCTTCAGTCAAAATGTTCTGGATTTTGGGAACAAGATGAATAATGTTTGAGAATAAGTAGAAATCAAGTTGCACAAATTTGTATACATGATATCAGGAGACCAAGTGGTGACTCTGGTGATGGTGATAGTCAATAGGTGCTGACTTGAGGGTGTTGTACCTGCATAAAGAGAGCTCTCGGTTCCCCTCACTTGAGGCGGCAGGTGATGGCTTCCCATGACCTTGCAGGTCCGGTTCCCCACGATCTCATATATCTCTTTTCTGATCGTTTGGTAGGACTATAGGAAACATTTATAGGTATCACCTGTGCATATGTTTTGAGTTTGAAATAATGGACCTGTTCTCCACTTGTTGATCGTCCTGCGCATACGTAGCTTCCCCGCATTACCTTACGCTCTGGAGCTCCCCTGACCTGAGACACTGGAGCTACTACATAACATCAACATCCCCCAACAACCTCACGAAGCTGTGCTTCTCAACCACAACACAACACAATTCATTCATAAGAAATACCACGCAATCATGGGAGGTGAAACTTTCGAAATCATAAATCATAAAAGCACCTATCCAAAATTGTCTGCACATCCCGTCGGACAATGGATTCCAGGCATCTACAAGGATAGGATTGCCATGTTCACTGGTGGAGGACAATATGAATCAAAGAATCTGCGGGCGTAAGTGCTTTTATTTAGGGATAGTACTCGTGGAGATACTAATTTTTCGAGATAGAATGCTTTCCGAAGGCTCTGCCTCCGGAAATCCACACGTCAAGCTCTCTGTATGGGATGCTCCTGACTTATCCAGACCGACTTTCGATGATGCCACGAAACACAAATTCAAACCAGCGGCTGTGGGTGACTGGTTCGGTCCATCATGGTCAACGCATTGGTTCAAAGTCCAGATCACAGTTCCAAAAGAGCTCTTAAAGAAAGACCTCCTCGAATTCCACTGGGATGCGAATAACGAGGGAATGGTATGGACCGAGGATGGCAAACCACTTCAAGGATTGACTGGTGGAGGAGAAAGAGTGGAATGGATTCTGCCGGAGAAATTCAGAGACGGAAAAGAGCACATAATATATATCGAGATGGCATGTAACGGAATGTTCGGAAATGCGCCAGGCGGAGATTCCATCCAACCACCAGACCCAAACAAATACTTCCAATTGAGCAAAGCGGAAATTGTTGCCGTCAATATCGAGGCACGGCACCTCTACATTGATATGTGGGAAATTGGCGATGCCGCGAGGGAATTTCCATCAGATTCATGGGAACAGCACAAAGCTTTGAAGGTTGCCAATCAGATAGTTGATGCTTTTGAATTGGGTAGTCAAGATTCAATCCTCAGGGGTCGTAAAATCGCCCAGGGTTATCTAGGCAAAAACGCCAGCTCAGCAGAGGTATACAAGTCTGGAACTGAACCTATTGTTTACGGCATTGGTCACTGTCACATTGACACTTGTTGGCTTTGGCCATGGGCTGAAACGAAGAGAAAGGTAGCCAGGTCTTGGTCAAATCAGTGCGATTTGATGGACAGGTATCCTGAGCATCGCTTTACTTGTTCCCAGGCACAACAGTACAAGTGGCTCAAACAGTATTATCCCTACGTATTTGATCGCGTCAAGGATAAGATCAGAAAGGGAACTTTCCAGCCAGTTGGAGGTAGTTGGGTTGAGCACGATACGAATATGCCAAGTGGAGAATCTCTTGTTCGCCAGTTTGTGTACGGTCAGCGATTTTTCGAAAGCAATTTTGGAGAGCGTTGCAAAACATTCTGGCTACCAGATACTTTTGGTTATTCAAGTCAACTGCCACAGTTGTGTCGATTGGCTGGTATGACCAGATTCTTCACACAAAAGTTGAGTTGGAACAACATCAACAAATTCCCTCATACCACCTTCAATTGGGTGTCTCTTGATGGAAGTCAAGTCATTTGCCACATGGCTCCTGCTGAGACCTACACTGCGGAGGCCAATTTTGGCGATGTCAAACGATCAGTCACTCAGCACAAATCCATGGATCAAGATGAAACTTCTCTTCTCGTCTTTGGAAAGGGTGACGGCGGTGGAGGGCCAACCTGGGAACATTTGGAGAAACTCCGACGTTGCCGCGGAATGTCTGATACGATCGGTCTCCTACCCAGAGTTCACATGGGAGAAGGTGTTGAAGACTTCTTTGATCGACTCGAGAAGAGGGTATCTGAAGGTCTCGATTTTGTCACCTGGTATGGAGAGCTATACTTTGAGCTGCATCGAGGCACATATACTACTCAAGCCAACAACAAAAAGAACAATAGATTCTCTGAGATCATGCTTCGAGATATTGAGCAATTGGCTACTTTTGCGAGCATCAAGCCCGGGTTCAAATATCCAAAAGAAGACATAGACGATATGTGGGAGGCTGTTTTACTCTGCCAGTTTCACGATTGTCTACCTGGTAGCTCAATTGAAATGTGTTACGATGACAGTGATGAGGTAAGTTGCACCTACACGTTATGGAAGTAGAATACTAACACCAATTAAGCTTTATGCCAAGGTGTTCAAGACGGGACAGAAGATATTGAAAGAGCTACAATACTCATTGGGTATCCAGGCTGTCTTGAATCCAAAGACCAAGGAAAACCTTGTTGCTTTGAACACCTTACCTTGGCATCGAAGAGAACTGATTTCGATCGGAGAGAACCAAGCTGGTGTTGCTTGTGGAGAAGGAAATCTGCTCAACATCAAAATTTTCAAGATTACGGAAACACCTGAGGTTACTGTCAAGGAAACCAAGAAAGGTGTTTTTGTCCTTCAAAACGATCAACTTCGTGTCGTCGTCGAGGAGGGATATATCAGCTCCATCTATGATTTCATTGCCGAAAGAGAAGTCATTGCCAAGGGTGGCAAGGCTAATCAACTTGTTATCTTTGATGATAAGCCGTTGTATTGGCAAGCTTGGGACGTCGAAGTTTATCACTTGGATTCCAGAAAAGAGCTTTCTCCAGGCACTACCAAGATTGTCCAGAGTGATGCTCATAAAGTCAGTGTTATGACTGAAACCAAGATTAGCGAAGACAGTTGGATCAAAACATACATCAGCTTGTCAGCCGCTTTCAAGGGCCAACAGTCTTATGTTGAGATGCATGCAGAAGTCGAATGGCACGAAAGCATGAAGTTTCTCAAGGTCGAGTTTCCAGTTGACGTTAGGAACACTGAAGCCTCCTACGAGACCCAATTTGGAATTGTTCGAAGGCCAACTCATTACAATACCACGTAAGTTCTCCGCCATGATGATTGAGCATGTTTACTAATATAGAGCAGCTGGGATATGGCCAAATTCGAAGTTTGTTGCCACAAGTTTGCCGATCTTTCTGAGCATGGTTATGGTGTATCAATCCTCAATGACAGCAAGTATGGTTTTGCTACCTGTGGTAATCTTATGCGTTTGTCGCTCCTTCGAGCTCCTAAGGCACCTGACGCTCATGCTGATATGGGCCGACATACCATTCGTTGGGCCATCCTTCCTCATCAAGGAGATCTTGGATCTACCACTGTTCGTACCGCATATAATTTCAACAACCCGCTGAAACTCGCTCAATCGCCAGAGCCTCTCAAGCCAAGTGCATTTAGCAATCCCATCAAACTAACTGGTAATCCTTCTTTGATCCTTGATACTATCAAGAGGGGCGAAGACGATTCCGACGTTTCCCGAGGAGAATTCTCCAAGAGGAAAGGAAAGAGCGTCATCTTGCGCATTTACGACAGTCTTGGAGGAACAAGCAAGGGAAGAATTGAAACGACCTTGGATGTGAAGAAAGTTTGGAAGACCAATATTTTGGAGGATGATGAGGAAGAATTGGAAATTGAATCTGGCAAAGTGGATATCACTCTCCGACCATTTGAAGTTGCTACTTTCAGACTGCAATTGTGAATGCTGGAATTGGAAATTGGTTGATGGATTATGGATTATGGATTATGAAAGGATACGAGTTTTTAGGAAGAGGATGAGAAAAGTATGGCATTATGAGGAAATGAAAATTGGTAGGAGCGACTTTTATTGATTGGAGTATTGTTCATATGGTTTTGCGGCACAGTTGAGGCACAGAATGTTAAAAATTGTGATCTGTAGCGTGATGCTACAAGGGTTGGACTTCGCCCCGCATCATTATGAATTGGATGCCGCATTTGTTAGTTGGTGCCGCTGGACCGGAGGGTTCAGTGGATAACGATGGACCGTGAATTTACCGGTATTCCTACTCCATGAATGCGAGGTTCTAGGTAGTAATTGATTTTATTACGAGTACGAATCGGCATGCATGGCTTCTACAGGCTGACTGTTGTATTGTAGAAGCCTATGATGTGGTAGAAGTGGGGGAGATTCCGTGATATGATACCCTCTCAAAATCATATATACAGTACATTTCGATTTTCAAGTTCACTTTGCACAATTGAATTCTTAGTGTTTACGCTTGTTTCGAGGTATATAAATTAACAAGATTTGGAGTCGTAGGTTGGAACGTTTCTGGCGATACCTTGTATTTTACTTTTTTAATATAGATATACTTAAATATATGCTTGTTTTCTTTTTCTCCGCAAATAAGTCGCTAAATTGGAGATCGTAAAGTTTAAATCGTGGATGGGGGTACTTGTATTATACAATACCCAAACAAGAAAAACTACTGCCTTTTGAAAAGGTTGTTCAAGACTGGTTTATGGTTCCCATCTCATGATCCTCATCGTCATCCCACCTCTCGCACTGAACCTTAAAAATCAGACAGAGATCAAGTAGTAGATGAGGCGGGAGGATTCTGCGGCGTAGCATGGCATAGCCTCTTTGACCAGGAGCAGCCCGTGGTTTACACACTCATCGCACAAACAGTGGGTTTCGAATGTCAAGGAATGTTTCTTATTGGTCTATGTACATACACTAGCATTATTTAACCTCATCCCATCGCGGATTCGGGATTCCTAGTTTCATCCCTTCCTCAGACAGCAAGTTATGTCATTGGGTGCCCTCACGATGTCAGCTTGCCGCAGGTGAATCCTGCGTGCTTTAGATCCCCGCTTGTGCAGCAGGGGGTAATTTCTTTACGAGGTGGTGCAGAGGAGGAGGCTCTGTGCCCTTGTTTTTTTGGTCCTTACTTTTTGTGCAGAATAGGCGAGGGCGGTTTTGGAGGACTTTGAGTGTGCCGTACGCTAGCTGAACCACGTGGAGAGTTCTCCTTGGGGGACTAAGAATAGAGTTGTATAGATTGGGAGTGGTGATCATTTTTAAGATCCCTTGTATCTGTGGAAGTGCTAGTAGTAAGCACGTTTGTATAAGATGTGTTGATGTCCGTCGGTTTGTAAGAATCCATCCTCATCTGAGAGTTTTCTTGGAGCGGTCTTTACCAACTAATTCTTTTTAAAGGGTACGATACGATTTCTGGTTCTCACTCATTCTGATCTTCATCATGTATTTTTCTGCTTTCGTCTTCGCTGCTCTGGCGGTATTACCTTCTGTCGTTTCCGCCAAAAGCGTCTTCGCTCATGTCGTCGTGGGAGATACCGCCGCCCACGATGTAACAAAATGGGGTAACGATATCCTGCTCGCCAAGAACGCCGGAATCGATGCCTTCGTCCTCAACATCGGGTTCCCGGACTCGAACATTCCTATCCAGGTCGCCAACGCCTTTCGGGCTGCAGAACAGGCCGGTAGCGCCTTCAAACTCTTCCTTGCGTTTGATTATCTGGGTGGTGGCCAGACTTGGCCGGCTACGGGTGGTGAGACCACCTCGGTGGTGGGCCTGGTTAATAAGTATAAGAATAGTGCGGCGTACTTTAAGTTCAATGGCTTGCCTTTTGTGTCGACTTTTGAGGGGGGCACGACGAATATGGCGGATTGGGCGCCGAATGGTCCGATTCGTTCGGGTACTGGGGGGATTTACTTTGTTCCTAATTGGGATGGTTGTATGTTTTCAAGCTTACTCACTCTGTTATGAAAATTACTGATTGATATTAGCTGGAATTAACGCCGTCAAGGGTGCTCTTGCTAATATTGATGGCTTCTTCTCGTGGAATATGTGGCCTAATGGAGCTACCAACAAGACCACTGACAACGACTTTGCTTGGAAAAACGCTATCGGCTCCTCCAAGAGCTACATGATGGGTGTCAGTCCCTGGTTTTTCCATAGTGGTGCTGGTGGTTTAGCACCTTGGGTATGGAGAGGTGATGATCTATGGGCTGATAGATGGGCACAAACACTCACCGTGCAACCCGAATTCGTGCAGTAAGTTCTCTCCCCACAAATCCTCAAAAGCAGCATCTAACAAGAGTCTAGAATCGTCACCTGGAACGACTACGGCGAAGCTCACTACATCGGTCCCATTGGCGCCGCAAGCGAAATCCCTACCGGCTCAGGCCAATACGTAAACAACATGCCACACGACTCTTTCCGGGACTTCCTCCCCTACTACATCGCCAGATACAAAGGCAGCTCCTTCACCATCTCACGGGACCAACTCCAATACTGGTACCGCACCGCACCTGCAGCCGGGGGCCAAACCTGTGGTGTTACCGGCAACTCCGCATCCCAGGGACAAAGTGTTGTTTCCCCTAACCAGGTGATGCAAGATGGTATTTTCTTCTCGGCGCTGCTTAGTGCGGATAGTGTAGTTACGGTGCAGATTGGCAGTGGACCGGTGGTCCAGAAACAGGGGAAGACTGGTATCAACCATTGGAGTGTGCCGTTTAATGGGCAGACTGGTGTTCCGACTTTCAAGGTGGTGAGGAGTGGGGTCACCGGGAAGGGGACGGCTATTACGTCGTCTACGACTTTGGCGAGCGGGTGTACGAATTATAATGTTTGGGCGGGTAGTGCTTAGGCTCTATTCTCTTCCTAAAATTATGTTTGTTTTCCCCTAGGGTTTGGAGGGGAATGCGAAAGTGGTTTCTTTGTTGGGTCTTGCATGGGTGGGTGGTATGGTGCATGGTGCATGTTGCATATGGATATTCGGGTTTTTCTATACATTTTCTTCATTTTTCACTTCTTTTCAGCGGATGAGTCCCGCAATTCTACTTCTATCTTACCCGGTACTTGAGCGTTTATCAGCATGAGTTATGAATCTTTACCTCCGTATACTGGGAATAGCGAAAAGTATGAAATTAGATCAATTTTTACGCGAGATCCCATTTGGGTATCATATTTGTTGCATTATATTTGTTACGAAGTTCAGTGCTCTGAAGTCATGTAAGTCTAACCAGATTTCATCTCTATCAATGTTCAACTACGCTCAAGAAATCACGTTTTTGGTGTTATATATATTCCAGAAGAATTGCAAAGATAGAACACCAAGGGAAATTGCCACTACTGGATCCGGAAAGTCAACAGACAACCAGTGCTGTATTCAAATTCGCCCCCACCCCTTGTCACTTCCCAAATCAATCTCTGCATTTTCCATACGATATCGACACATACACACCACCTAAACACCCATTAAGTTCTTTGACTTGAGGGCCATCATGAGTATCGACAGTAAAAAGTTTTTTGACAGCAAGACCTACAAAAGTTGACTAAACACGAAGGCACATGGTGCAATCCAACCAAGGTGCATGCCGGGGGCTACAGTAAGTGAGAGAAAAGGATTCGTGGTCTTGATAATGTAAAGACTCTGAAGGCACCAAAGAGCACTCACTCCCTTTTTTTTCGGCAGTTGGTTCCTTTCGAAGTTAGAAAGGTCTAGGAAGGATTCGTAAGATGGGTATTTATACTAGCGTTTTCGTTTGTATGCTTTGAGAACAGAGAACTAGATGCCTTGATTTTAAGGGGGGTGGTTATTACTCCGTAAGATTTCCTACCTTTGAAATAACCAAGACTATTGTCTCGAAATACTTTGATAATGAGAGGTGACCAGAGCTGACAATATGTCCGAGTCTTTTTTTTGCATTTCTGTTCTTGAGTTAGGTACCCAGCGTATGGTAAGGTCTCCTGTAAGTTATAGTAAGGTAATGTCTGTATGTAGCTCTATTCTTACTTGTCTTTCATGGCTGTAAGTAGAGTAGAGCTTAACCAAATCTTCTATATTATACCTCTTTGGGTCATGCACAATACCTCGTCCCCCATAACCAGCGTACGTATTGAGGATTAGATTAGATCTAGACATATAGGAGCTGTAGATAACACACATACTTGCCCAAAATACCACTTACTCGCACTTACTTCACAAAACTCCAAGCCACCATCCACACCAAGAGCACAAACCAAACCAAACCCTCTCATCACAACCCCTCCATCGCTCTCTTACCAACCCTATTCAACCCCACCCCCAAAAACCGCACCACAGCCCATCCTAGCCTACTCCACCAACCAAACACCCTCGCTTACTCCGCCCCTACCCCACAAAACCACCAATACCACCAACACCACAAACAACATCAACAACCCTCACAACGTCCCCAACCACAAAAACAGGTACCTCCCCAACTATCTTAGTCATTCACTGTGTTCACCACGAGTACCCCACCACCCCTGTTCCCTCGCCTTATCCACTCATCCGCGAGGAAATATTCAAGATATATTATTCTTTGATTTATTAAGGGAGTTGTGGATGTGGATGTGCGGATATGGATGGATGGATGCTGATGAATATGTAAGAGTGTAAGTGTACGTATAAGTGGACGCGTAAGTATGTATATAGGCGTATAGTGGTTAAATATACGCGAAGCGAGAGTGATAAGGCCTTTCTTCTGTTGAGCGGGGATGAGGACGAACTCTTTTGCTACTTAGATCTTTTTGTTGTTGTTTATTTGTTATTTACGGCAGCGAAAAGGTGAGGGTTACGCTATGTATAAAACCTCAACCACGATCCAGAAAGCTGATACAAGTTTGTCTAACACATTGGTACCACATGGAAACCTCATTGTCCTCAATCTCTCATCTCAAAAACGACTTTCTCGACTCTCGAGTTCCACTCTAGCAAACTCCAGTCGTCCATCCATCACTTCCTCACACTCACACCATCGAGATCCTTCATATCTCTCAAGCTTAAAAAAGGTATCCTGAAAACCACCTCAAACTTACCGTCGAAATCAAAGTTACTGTCGAATTCTCAGAATACTTTACTTGAAAAGCCCCACACAACAGCGCTTCCACCCTCCTAGACGAGACGAGATAAAATACCTCAACATGGGCAGTCATACCCATCCCATACCAAGTTATCAACCTTTCCTCTCAACCATTCCAGGCTGCGGCTCTGGGTCAGTATCTTTTCCACAATCTCAGTCCCCTAACCTGCCGACGTGAGGTGAGTATTTATAGTGTTCTGAGTTTAGGCGTACGTAGTAAGTCTAGATTAAAATTAGTTGGTATCGCACGAGCTAGCGTTAGCTCTATATCATTCAAGTATGCGCCTCGAGCTCTTCTCTCTCTAGAGCACCTAATCTCACGATAAGACAGTACAAGACAACACAATCGAATCCTGGGTAAAATATTCTATTCTATTCTATTATACGATACCTACCGTACCTACGATACCAAGTACCCAAGTACCCAAGTTAAGCTAGGTATCCCCACCCCTATCCCATCCCCATCCCATTTCGCTCTCGCTTCACTTCAATATTAACAACATTAACAATTTACACACCACACCACACCACACTCCAACAACCCAATACCAATCTCACATCCATCCATCCATCAATCTAATCTAATCTAATCAACCACTCCACAATCCAGCAAGGGGTATATCCCAAATCCGCGCAGACGTCAAGAAAACAAAAAACAATAAAAAAGAGAGAAGGAGAAAAAACCAGAATAGCAATCCATCCCATCCCATCCAAGGAAAACAAAACTCCATCCTAAACCTAGCCACCCATCCTATCCGTACAACCCCCCTTCCTCCCACCCAACAAAAAAAGAGAGAGAGAAACAAAGGAAAAAAGATAAAAAGAAAGAAAAGATTATGTATGTAATATTCTCCATTCATCCTACCAACCAAAAAAAGTGATATTTACCTATCCATCCCTGTCAAGTTCATCTAGCAGAATCATCGATGGCCCTCTACCCAAGACCAAGTCCAGCAACCTCATCCAGGATCTCCTTCAAGGCCTCACGATCAACGGAGTTCGATCGGACCTTACTCGGCGCCTTGGAAACCTTCCTGACAAGCCCGGGAATCGGACCTTTCTGGTTGATTCCCGGAGATCTTGCCGTGAATGGCTCCTGTGTAGGCGGAGTACTTACAGCTCTCTGTTGATCAGGAGCTGAAGGTCCGGATTTCGTAGGCGTGGCACCCCATCGTCCAAATACCCATCCTCCTAGCTTCCCACCAACTCGAGAGCTGGTGCTTTCGACTGATCCACCCGAGCTGACGGACCGTGCATCCGAATTGTTCCCCTGAATGCTTGAGCGAAGATATGATGTGCTCTCATGCCCGAAGCGAGAAAGGGTCGGCTGAGCGGTAACTTCTGTGTTGACAGAGACCATTGAGGTCGGGTCGTTGAGTCGTGTTCGAGGAAGTAGAAGCGAGTTGTTTGACCCAATGGCCAATTGTGAAGGACGAGATTTCAAGGTATGAATATCGATACCAGATACCGAAAGAATGGACTCATGGGATGAAGTACGTCGGAGGGAAGGTCGGAATGAGTCGTTCCAGTTTTCGTTGGGTGTTTGCTCGTAATTTACATCTCGTGAATCTTGAGCACAGCTGGTATCGATATTCAGTGATGGAACCCTTGGGGTGTTCAGGCTAGGCATCGCTTGTACATCGTCATCCTCTTCATGTATAACATTATGAGGTTGAAAGTTCGTCCCACCGAAACTTCTAGTTGAGACATCGGATAGCTTCTTTCGGTGACGCATTGGACCAAATTGTGGTGACATAGGGTCAATACTTGATCCAGGTGATGTTGGCCGCGAGGAGTCTATATCGAAGCTTCTATCAAAGAGAGTGCTACTACGGTATGCAGACTGTGGGGAGCTGGGTACAGAAGAGGGAGCAAAGTCTGACATAGCACCAGACTGCATAGACCAGCGATTTGTTGGAGTACGAGGCGCCGGGACAGTAACCGAAGTCTGAGAAAGTATTGTACTTGCGGTGTCTCGATTTCGGGGTCTCCTTGGTGATATTGGTGAATGGCCATTCCTCGGGGGAGTGAAGATTGATGCACTGAGAGAAAGTCGTTTCTTCTTTGGTGTTCGAGTCTCCTGTTTCTTTGGTACATGATAATGGTGATGAATATGCAGCTCAGGTGGTGGAGCGAGAGTTGCTGGTTGTGACTTTGAGGCAAGCTCGGCACCCAAGGTTGGAGTTTTCTCTCCTTCGCTGTTTTCGAGTGGTTGATGCAATAACAACTGTTCCCGTAAAGCCTGGACCTCATCATTTGAGTTTAACAGCATCTCTCGAAGCTCCATAATTCCCAGTTGTAGGTTCGCATTGTCTTGAAGGATATCCTTAACAAAGTGAGATACCACATTGGATCCATTCTTGGAGTTACCGGTAGTAGCAGCAGCTGCCTTTAGTCTACCAGCAGCACTTCCCAACTCATTCTCCACAGCCCGTTGTCGTTCCATGCGCCCAATAACCTCGACATGTCGTTCCCGTTCTTCCCGGGCCTCGCATTCTATCCTCTCCAGCTGGTCCTCCAATTCGTGTAGTCTCCGCTCGGCCTGCTTCCATCGCTGAATGGCAGATCGTTCTTCTGCTTCGCTTTTCGCAACAGCTTTTTGTAATAGATCTTGTTCCTGCTCCACTGCTGCCAACTGAATCTCCAGATCTTGTGTTCGGAAAGCTAATGCCTCTAGCCGTCGAAGTTCCTGGTGTGTTGACTGTAGGGTTGACTCGAGAGACTTGATGTGGATTTCGGAGTCGGAGAGTGTTGTGCTAAGTCCCTCTAGTTGCTCAGACAGTTGTTGGTTCTCTTCAGCGCTCCGGGCATTTTGCTCCTCCAACAGCTTCTTTTCATGCTCGAGTTGGTCGATTTTCCCATTCATCTCCATGCGGTCTCGTTCGGCATCGTACATATACGCCTCATGGCGCACAAGCAGCGCCTGCAGTGCAAAGGTCAGCGATTTGGACATTTTGGTATTCAACACATGGTCTCTTCAAGAATCAAAAACATTTGGATATGACAAACATGGCAGGAGGTTGGTCTGCATTTGAAGGATTTCAACACCTCGTTAAATCTCACGATGCCAACTTGCGGGTGTAACGGTAACGAGCAATTTCCAAACAAGACAAAGCGGGTTGGACGAGGAATGTTTACCTGACCGAGTGTGGCTGCCGTATGGAGCTCTCTCTCGAGATCCTCGACTGCCGAGGAGTTGTGTTCCAGATATGCGCAATCTTTCCGGCCACAGCAACACTGAATGGTGGACTTGGATGGTGTAGGACAGCCATGTGGAATGTGGCCTATCAGGTCACCCAGAGCGTCGTTTTTCACAGTTGGAGCCATGGCTTTGTTCGCTTTCGGTCGTTCGATTTGGCAGCGCTGAAGCTATTCGCTCACCGTCGTCTCTACCAGATTGCTGTATCCGCGGTAACGATTGAAGTTGATGTCCTACCTGGGCGTTTTCGTGTTCTCGTGCTCGGTGACTTGTGGTACGGGTGCGTGAACCATAGCGGCGACACAGATATGTGGTGTTGGGGTTGGTATGAATGGAATACGGATGGTAGTGGAATGGTTCAAAGGAGGGTGTTGATCATCGTCGTAGGCCCGACGACAGGATGTGGGTGAATATGGGTGTGGATTATTGTGGTGGTAGAGTTGTGCTGTGTGAATTGTGACGCGGCATTTGAGGCAAGGAGAGGGAAAAGAGGAGGTGGACGTCGTGAATTAGGGAAGTGAGTACTCGAATACCAAGGAGTACACCCCATACCAACAGAGGCTGGGTAGTTTCTCTCTCGACCGTACGGTAGGGAGCTTCGAGGCCAACTCAGGCCCGTTTGCAGCTAATTAGCTTTGCTCTGATGACTCTCACAGGCATCTGCCAGGCACCTTCAGGGACCACAGATCATCCGTTTGCTGCTCATCCCACCAAACAACCCGCGCTGATAGGCTCTGACGTGCTGTAGCTACCGGCGGGCCAGGCACAAGCCAATCACCAGCTCGCGCTGTTTCTCGTAGCTTCGTCACGATGCAGACTCTTCCCAGCCATCTCCACCCGCAATCTTCATAAATCATGCACTGGTCGTTCCTCGGCTCACGCTGACATCCATGACATATGACCTACGCCAGATCATATGTCGATCATCTAGGAGAATGTATATCCTCATTTAGCGACGAGGAAAGATTTCGAGAAAAAGATTGTCAGTTCTGATTACTACTACGAAGAAACATTACCATCCTCACAATCTGAGGAGAAAAACCTAGGTAAGTACAAGAAGAGTATCACACCTCCAACAAATCCCCGCGAACCCCGGGACCAAATCTCGTTATCCGTACAACCTTTTCACAGCCACAAAAGTCCCCAAGACCTTTCAGCTCAGCCATACGAGTACAAACAGAACAAGAGCCATACGTCGTCACAGGCATGATAATTGTAACTTTTACGGGGGTATTTACTCTGTTCTCCACTAAAGTCACCCTAGCAACCCTACAACTATTACGCCTTTGACGAAGTAAAGTACGAAGTACAAACAGTTGTTCTGTGGCTGTGACCAAAGACCACAAGATCATTCGCGTAATGTAGGAGCCGCAGATAGTTCCGAGTTGCTGGGAGAGAACGAGAGCGTGAGCAACTAATTTACACCGAAGGCCAACCACCCGACCACTTCAAAGCGTTATATCCAAACAGATATTGCCCATCGCCGAGCCCAACATCAGTGTTGGCATAGTGATAATAGAGGACAAGTCCCTGCTTCGAGTCTTGGAAAACCCCCCTGAATTATTGATTAGTACCGCTTGATCACAAATACACGGAAGAGGAGAAAGGGACTTACTGTCCTCCAGGCGCATAGATCTTTCCGTGGCTTTCGAGAAGCGTGGTTCCCCCACCAGCTGTGCAAGAGACACCTGCCTTATCAACAAATCCCCCGGTCGCAGATTCAGATCGACACACCAAGATCTTGTATTCCCCTCCTGGAGCTGGTTTGTTGCTGAAGTTCGCATTTCGTTAGCGAGTATTGACCCAGCGTTGGACCGGCAATGACATGGCACAAAACTTACCTATCAAGTCCACAGCACTTTCCAAACGACCAGGTGAGATAGTAGAAACCACTGTAGTGGAAAACGTATGCTCCTTCGCTAGGGTTCTCTCCCTCCTTCTTGAATGCGATATTCTTCGGACTGCCGCCGGCTGCCTTTTTGGCATCGGAGGCCAGGGGAGTTGTGAAGATACCACCCCAGAAAGATCCAAAGACCAGTTGGTAATCGCTGCCTACTTTGAGCAGGTTGGCATCGATGGCGTTGTATGCCGTTCCGGCTTTGGAGTCGACGCCAACTGCTCCCAGATCTGACCAGCTTCCCGGCTTCATGCTAGGGGACGTTGCGAGTCCAATCGAGCTGACTTGAGCGCCGAACTGGGAGACTGAATAGTACAAGTGGTAAAGATCCCCAACCTTTGTCACATCGGGTGCCTATAAACAAAAATACACATTAGTCCCTCGATATCGACATTGAAGCAGAATTCGAAAGTCATACCCATAGATCTTTGTTCCCCGGGCTACTTATCTTACTCCCACTAGGCAAGACAGAGCCTTGTATCGTCCATGGTCCTGCTAAACTGCTCGCGGTAACGATTTCAATCCCCTTCCCAGTATTGAACTTGAAATACGTCCCATCGCTATGTTGGATCAAAGCAGGATCATGAGCCCAACAGGCACCACTGCAAGGTCCAGGATCAGAATAACCTTGAACCAACGAAGCCAGTGCAAGTGAAACCACATAGAGATATCTCAGTACGGACGACATGTTTGCAAGAACAAAACGAAAAGAATGTATATGGTGGAGTGTAAAGGATTCAACAAGCGCAGACCTGAATGAGGGACAAAAGCTCTGTCAAGCCTGAGGAGACTTTCAAGCGGACGGGCTTATGTATTTAAAGTCCATCGCGAATCCATTCGTGGGAATTCGTATTCCCCATTAAGGTTCAAGGGGAATCGGCATTTTCTGGTGGTCTAGAAGTAGAAGCTGTCCTGCTTGCTGGCAGGAGTCTTCCTTGTACTAGGACCTTTTTTGAGGGGTCTCCCATTGACGACTCGAGACAGCCGTCACTACCATGCCATGCTCACCCGCAAGAAATATTTCCGAAAGGGCGTCTGCATGCTGGTGTGCTTTGTGGGGTACATAAGGGGTTAAATTAGGTCGTGGTGGGTTGGGTAGAAAGGTGATTGGGTTGTATGCATTGGCAGATATAACTGAGGGCATTGTAGGATACTGGCCGTCAGAATACACAGTACTTCCATCGCGTCATCACTCATGATTGATCACATTGAAGATCTCAATCCCCTCGGTTAGTGTTAAAATAGACTGGTATTGACACGTTGACCGAAAGTTTGTCGTCTGAGACTTTCCCTGTCAGACAGTTGTCAAAGCCTTGGAAGGATGGATCGCACGTCTCTGAAGTCGTCTCGTGTTATACACTACAGTACTCAACCAGCCCGAAACCGAGAAATACAGACGTCCGTAGGAAAGAAGAATAATAATGGTCTCATCCACTGCGAGGGCATTCAAGAAACGAAAGAAATGAAAGGAAAAATAGAGGTTATAAAACCACGACGTAGGCTCGGCAAATGAAACGCAGACGAAGAGAACGTACTGTATGAGAAGCCTGGACAGGGATCCTGATATTATCCATCGGTACATGTACCCGGGGATTTCCCACCAAGGAACTTGTTCTTGCGTTCCTGGTCGAGGTCTTCTGACTTCTCAGATTCTCTCCTGAGCGCGGCCAGGTTGGGCGATGCATTGTGAGAATTATTAACACGGGCGGGCAAGGCAGGAGATAGAAAACGACCAACCTTGTTTTCGCTGAGCGAAAAATAGGTACTTGGTCGGCTTTATTCACCTTATGAATATTTATATATACGAAGTAGATCAAAAGGAAAACTGGGTCCGAGATCTAGAACAATCTAGTTCGTTCAAATAAGGTCGCCACGTGGTGAGCGGCAGATGGCGATATCGGTAGATTCGGTACTCGAGTACAGTATAATATACTTGTACGAGTACTGTATCTCAACTTGGTTACAAGGAATCTATCTACCTCTAGAAGTAATCTTACATCTTTCGCGATCTATACATCAGCTCGCACTTCACCTTACAAGCTGAGCTCCCCGATTCCCAATCTCTCAGTAGAGTGGTTTTGCCGCGGGTCTTGAATAATATAAACAACGTTTGTTAGTGTGCACATAATTAAGTTTATAACTTTCGTTGTTTCACAGCCTCGATTTACAAACTATTTATTGTAAAATAAGCTATAGGATTTGTATCACTTCTTTAATATGACGAGAATTCAAACACACATCGAATACAAGGTGCCTGCCTAGGTATTCAAATGCAAATCCAAATACGAGGTATCTAACTGGGTGGCACGGTAGAAACGCTTAAATCGATTATAATATATAGGTTTTTATAGAATTGATTTTTTTTTTTAATTTAATGACACCCGGTCCTCTTCTTTCTCCACAAGTTGTAATAGTGTTTTTAGCACGGATTTTGTCCACTTCTTCGTAGGTGCTCTCGGATGTTTATAATTATAAAATCCGTAGAAAAATCACTCTAGTAGTAAAGTTTTTCAGCGTAAAGATAATAAGGTTTGTAATTTTATAAGAGGTTGAGCAGGCCGACTTTACTTCGTAATAACGAGTAAGTATCTAACAAAGAGTAATCTTACGTAGGGACGGCTTTCTAATATAAATACAAATACGAGGAGTCTTATTACTATAGAACACAAACGCTTATATCACTTGAACCAGGCTCAATTGAGGACTAAAAAGTGGATTAACTTTTGTTACTGTAGGTAGTACCTAGGTAATAACAAAAGTTAATCCCTTGTTTGACTTTTGGTAGTGACAACACCTTCGCTAGAGCTTTGTCCCCTTTTTACTGTAGGACGAACTTAGCCTTATAACCGCCACTACCTAAAAAGTGGTTACCAAATCACTCTTAGATACGACATGACATCATCTAGCAACAAACCCATTGATAGCCGTGGAGTTGCCCCCGCAGAAATCCAATCGAGAAAACCTACCCATCTGTACCAATCCACCTGGGCCGCAACCATGAAAAGTTGGGTAAGGCACGTGTTTGATCCACCACTCTCCCCCAGATCCATGACCCACCGCATCTTTCCGAAGTCGTTTCCCCCACACACCCCCACACCCTCAACCCCAAACTCAGCATCAGCCAATTCATCCAAACCCCCCTCCTCAACTTCCCAGTCCAGAAAAACGATGGAATGCGTCACGGAAGCTGGAAGAAAACGCCGAACACGGTTAGACCCCTCATGTCCTGATTCAACATCTGATCTTCATACCAGTACTCGTACATGCGCTCGAATAACATGAGGGGAGGTCTGGGCAGCAGCTGTATCTGGGGTACATGACCCTCTACAGCACCTACCTACTCATCTGATTTTTTATTCTTGATGCCACGGCACGGACAAGACAGGGCAGAGGAGGGGAGAACCAAGAGCGTGGACGTGGACGTGGTTGGTACCGGTATTTTCACCGCACTGCTAGACTGGGTTATGCTAGGACCTGGGGTAATAAAAAGTACCGCACTTCCCACTATACAGTATAATGCGAGTATGGAGCAATTGAGTTTTCGGTTCATCTTTCTGACGAGTAAACGGGTTCATTATGATTAGATAGTGATGTCTGTCTGAGCTTCCTCGTTTTCATGCTACGCGATGGAGATATGAAAATTTATAGAGTAGAGGTACATTGGATGAACGACCTTTCCTTCCTTGCGTTCGTATAATTCCAAAGGTGGCAAAAAATATACTACTAGTACTATACTCCTTATACGTGAATCATCTATCTGCTATAGAAGTTATTACAGTACCTATTAATCGTATAGCTCTTCAAGTAAACAAATGGTACGGGATAAAAAGATTCGCCTCCATTTTGGCCTTAGTATTCTCGCTTTGATTGGCGAGAGTACTTAGCGAGATTACTTAGACCAAACCGAATTAGGACGTTCTGCCTACCGGCTTTGGGGGAGTTACGGAGTAAGGGATAGCTTCTTATGGACGAATTTTCTTTCTAGGGATATAGAAAGGTGTTTTCTGAGTAGCCTAACAAGTAGCCTTGCTAACTTCTATTACTCGAGTACCCTTAGTAGTATTTGCTTAAAACCCTTGCCTCCTTCAAGAGTGAATTTACCACGGAAGTTAACAATTATTCTAACATAATGTCTAGTTCCATATATCTCCGCGAAGACTACTCACCGTTTCACTAGTAAAATAACCGCCAAGGCTATAGAAACCTACAAGTGATGATTACCAGAAGGACTAGTACTATAGGCGGAAGACTTATTGCTCGATAGATATCGAAGAACTGATTCATATTCCCAAATAACCCCAAATCGCAATAATCACAATCATGACTGCTCACTAACTTCATTACCAACGTTGTATCATTTTTCTCCAACCGATGCATTCCCATCCATCATCTACCTTCCCATTCAAATCGTAGTCTCAGCCGGAACCTCAATCTCCAAAACATCAACCCCCTTCTCAATCTCACTCTTACTAGGCATCTTGCCCCTCCTCATAAGCTCCGAGCACTGCATCACCACAGGATCAACCTGCATACTACCCACCGCCACAACCTCCTCCCCCTTCGCGTAATAAGCGACGAACTTTCCTTCCTCCGGACTTCCCTTGAGAACGAGGTCGTCCCATCCATTGACTGTGTTTCCACAGTACCGCAACTGACTGCCCAACGCCGACCAGAAAATCGGGATGAATGCCTTGGGCGAGGCAGATGGATCGAGAATGTGTGATGCTGCTGCGCGTCCGGCGTTTTGGGCGACGTTCCAGTGCTCGATTCGGGTGAGTGAGCCGGAGCCCCCGGGTCCGTGGTAGGGGTATGTTGCGATGTCTCCGATTGCGTAGACGTCTGTATGGCCTTTGACGAGGAAACTCTCATTTGTTTCTAGAGAGCCGTCCTTGAGGAGGTTGACGGCACTGTTGGATTTCAGGAATTCGGTTGTGGGTGCAACGCCAGTTCCTAGGATGACTAGGTCGGCTTCGAGAGAGGTCCCGTCTTTGAGGAGGATGGCCCCTACTTTTGATGGGTCTGAGGATGAGGGCGTGGCTTTTTCGACGCCAGCCGACATCTTGAATGTTACGCCTGATTTGGAGAGTGATTTTTGGAAGATGGAGCCGACGGAGGAACCCATTATTCGTTCAAGGGGCGTGGATTCCATGCCGACTACTGTTACGGTGTTGTCTTTAGCGATAGCGTTGGCGACTTCCATGCCGATGAATGAACTTCCTATGATGACTATCTTCTTATTCTTTGAGCCGATGGCGGCGAGGATGGATTTGACATGGGGGATGGTGCGGAGGAGGAAGATGTTATCTAGTTCTTTGAAACCGGGGAGGGGGAGGCTTCTTGGTGTCCCGCCGGTTGCTAGGACTAGTTTTGTGTATGCGTATGAAGAACCGCTCTTAGTGGAGACTTTCTTGCTGGAGAAATCTACATCTGTGACTTCGTCGTTGACGACGTCGACGGATCCCTCTTTGAACCAAGCTGCATCTCTCAAAGCAATCTTTGATGGGTCGTCGATTAGAGCTTTGGATAGCTTGGTGCGGTCGATTGGTGGGTACCCCTCGCTTCCAATCATCGTGATGGAACCACTGAAACCATTCTCCCTCAAAGCTTCGAGAGTTCCTAAAGCTCCGCTTCCTCCTCCTACAATAACAACCTTCTCGTTCCCACCGGCCTTTCCTGAAATGCGGATCTTGGGCTTTCGACGCGAGGATTTGATGTGTTGTTCCTCGCCATTAATATACACCCCACCGCTTTTCTCGGAAAGCTCGAAGGAAGGGAGGGAATCGATGGCGGGTGCATTCTCAATATCACCGTTTGAGGCTTTAAAACATGCTACATATCTCTCACATCAACATCTCCCTCAAACCAAAAGGACTCGAACAGAATCGGGATTGAGAATACTAACCACCATGCCAAGGACAGGTAATCCTTCCATCACCAGTCAAAACACCTTTCACCAACGGAGCTCCATAGTGGGTACATTTACTACCAACCGCCGTCGTCTTTCCCCCACAATTGAGGAGTAGCACTTTTCCTTCTTCGATGCCTTCTACTTCTACCTCTCGCTTCTCGCCCGGCTTGAGGTCGAGCGCGGTGAGGCCTTTGAGTTTATATTCTTGGACCATGGTGGGTGATGAGGTTGTGAAAGCTCGGGAATTGCGAGGTAGTGTTTGACGGAGAAGTTGGAGGAGTCGGGTTATGGGGGGCATGTAAGAGTTATTCAGTTAAGTATGGTAGAACTGAGGGGTTTCTTTCAGAAGTAAGACAACGGAGTACGGATTAGATTTCAAATTGTCAGCATTGAAGGGTGATGCTGGAGTGAATTATGTTTGTAGGTCTTACTTGCAGCATGAGCTGATTGAAGAATTCGATGATGGTTTCATTGCATGACGTGTGGGAACCTGTGGGGAGGCTTCTGCAGGGTTCAAGGGTCAATTCGTTGGTGAAATGGTAATACTGAGCTTCTTATTGGTTGGTCGGAAGTGGAGATGGATCAATTAACCAAAAGGAGACAGGGGGCCAAGATCTGAAGGATTCTTGAATGGGAGTGGGAGCCGCGTGAACTCGTACTCCTTACGAGTACAATTGTTACTCTTTTTCAGGATATCATCCTTCACAGTAGCAGTCTGTTCTTCTTTTGAAGAACAGAAATAATCATCCAACGAACGTGGTTTGGCTTTGGTTACGCATATGAGGATACTTTCAAGATGGTGACGTAGCTCGCCTAGGTGGCTCAGTCGTAAACTGTGGGCCGAAAATGGACAGCTGCATATTTTGTTGCAAATCGCAGTTTCGACCACTTTTTGAAAAACGCGGAAGCAAGTGTCCCGTGGAAGCAAGTGCATCGTGTCGCGGTTTTTTATTCAGTCTACAGTCAGTTTCTAAGCTGCAAGTTTCTATATAGGCCTAAAAGAAAGCTCTTAGTTGGCTCTATAATATACTGACCTATTAAGCTAGATCCAACTGTAGCATATTAAGATATTATTTTCTGAAGTCGAGTTTTTGTAGAAATCGGGTTTTCTTGTTAGACGAAAAGCGATAGGAAATATTTTTTTAAAATATAGATTATCAAATTATATAAGCCACCGATATTCAAAGCTACGGGGAATTAATGCAATGATTCCTAGTCTCCTATAAATCCAAACATAAACCCTAAACAGATATCGTATTAACATTTATACACAAATACTAAAGACCTTCCCTTAATTCGAAGCCAGGAGTTAAACGAGCCCGCCGATTTAGAAGAGAAATGACAAGAAGCTCACACGACAACTCTCTCCTTTCTACAAACTCCCAGAATCACAGTAGAGGCCTGTACTATAGTGTAAAATTCGTTTAGACCCCCACAAGCGGGAAGAAAGTACCACAAAAAGAAGTCCTCCGCGTGAACACCACGGCGGGTTCATTTACTGTCAAATACTAAGCTACTGTCGTTTCACAAAGAGCCTTTGCATCCCCCCCTGGGGACAGATGTTTGCCATGACCATAGCTACCCAGCCATAATCCTCATCCTGTATAACTTCCGAAAGAAAAAAAGGTTTCTCTCCTCATCTATCTCATCTCGATAGATGCGTCGTCTCCGACCATAGACATTCGACCGCCGTTGACTATATCCCCTCGAAAGTCTAATCCTCCCAAGTTATCCTTATCGGTTCTTGGAGAAGTGTTCATATTGTAGTCAAACAAGTCATCCTCATAGTCTCTCGTCATCCATTCCTCGTCCTGGTCCTTCCCGAAGAGCATTGTTCGATAGTAAAAGGGAATAGAGAAGGGGTCTATAAAGGATATATACACAATATCTAACGGAAAGGCATCTATCATATTAAGCTGCAAGTCAGCATACCACTTTTCTGCTCATACAGGTAGGATTTTCATTCCATATTCTTCGGCATACTCACCTCATCCTCGTCAGTGCTGTCGAAAGTTTAGAGCAACTCCCCCCCAATCATCTTCTACGTCAGTTTGTCAAATTCGTGTGCAGATCAAGCAATATTTGGGACGTTACTGTAATGCCAACAGTAACGGCATGGGAGTTACTCTCAAGACACGATCTACACATATACAGCAGGCGATCCATCGGGGTTGAGTGAGGATTGCTGTCTATTTATGATCTCTGCTCAGAGCAGAGTACATCCGGATATAGAAAGATTGTTCGACGGTGAATATGCATTCGACAGGAACAACATTGCATAGCAGAGATAAATAGTCTGAACTTATCAACGAGTCCTGACATCTTATGGTTCTTAATCCAGGCAACCTTCTGAATCGTCTCTCGAATGGAGAGATGATTATCTTGGAAGGCTGCGTTTCTACTTGGTCAACGGTCACAAATTCATTTTCATTCTTTTGATTGGCCGAATCTATGAAAACAAGATGAATATGTAGGATACTAGAGGGAGAGAATACAAGGAGAGAAGAACAGAATAGAATGATAGAGAGTTAATACTACCCTCTATAATTATATTTTCATTTATAAACTGATTTTTAGATCTTTCTATCTTCTATACTACTAATCCAGATAGAAAAATATATACTAAGATTTAGAACGTCTTCTAATATATAGTAATGGCTTAAGCTAAGTTCTTTACTTAATCCTGATTAAGATTTGATATATAATTATTTCTAATATAAAGTAATTATATTTTACTAACTAAATAGAATTCTTATTAGAAATATATACCTAGGTAGTTACGTTCTAGTCCTGTAACTATATATCTTCTTACTAATGATTAGTATAATTAATAGCTTAATAGTACTAAGGTGTTAGAATTAACCTAAGTTATACGTTAAAATAAAACAATTCTATACGAGGGTGCTTAATCCTGATTAAGAGTTACGCCGGGCGGTGTAGAAGATGTAGTTAGATACAAATACTTAGTAGGCTTACTTACATCCGAAAACCAAACAGAAGTCACCAAAAATGCTCCCTAATTCTCCAAAAGGCAAACTCTTTCCCTCAAATTTGCAATAATAATCGATCCTCGAAAAGTGACTGCATGCCAGTATTTCCCCCAACGTCAACTACAGAGCTTCGTTTCACTCCCATTCCGGTATTAGGATGACGGTGATCTCACGACTACTTTGATAGATAGGTGGTGCAGGACCATTTCCTCCCAATCAACTTCTTATAGATGTCGAGAAGAATAGAAAAGATATAACGTAAACTGGAAGGGCGGATTTGCAACAAAACGACGAGGTCTCTCTCATACCACGTTCTTAGCATCATGAGAAACAGACTACAGTCGAGGAATTCCTCACCCAAGCGTTGACATAATGAATCCGCCGCAAGTCTATCAACCTCCTTGAACATGGCGTAAAGGTACCAGACGGTTCCATTCTCGGCATCGAGGAGTCTTCAACAGATACCCTCGAGATCCTACCTGCACACGGATGGGATATAATCGCTCAACGCGGAAAAGAACATCGATTTCTACGGAATAGGGACCCAGTCGCTGGTGTCTTGAGCACGGCGCGACGGCGAGACCGAAAGACCTAAATTAAACATCTCGTTTTGAAAGCGAAGATGCTTGTGAAGAATCAATTTAGATGTCCCTCGGTACCTGAAAGTATTGCGTCACAGAACACAGTATTAACATTTAAACTCTTATGTAAGAAGTAGAGGGACGAATTCGCAGTCTAGGACCCTTCCCTTCGCGGCAAAGGTGGCGATGGGATTTTCTCAGAGTCCAGAATAACCTGATGCCACCACAGAAATACGAGATCAAGATCGCGCAACGTTACACGCCGAACGCAAGGCGGTGGTAGTTCATCTGATGTACGGACTGTATGAATTTGAGGTTGAGCCTGTTAGGTCGATGCGATGCTTGGGCATCAACATGGAACTCCGCTGTCCTATGTTGTGTATTCCAACCCCGGACTAGGGCTGCACTGAGGTGGTACTGTACAATTCTTCTTACAGAGAGGTGCATATCCGGAACTTGTTTAGATCCTACGGGATGGGACGCTAAGGAGCTTGTCAGACGTTGCAAAACCAACGATTTTTGGATGGTGTAGAGAGCTGGAAAGCAAATGGTCGAGTTATTCTGTACGATGGTGCTTTATTAGGAGGAATATAATGTGTTCATCTGTATCATTTTCCCAATGAGTCATTCCAAATAGATTTCCTAGATTAATTGCCCTTTTCGTTAATATAATTAGATAAATGTGAACCCCTAATAAATTTAAATGTCTCTTTTTAATAGTCCTCTCTAAACCCGCAAACACATCCACACCGCTTCTCGATCTCCACTCTAGGTGCCGTTTGTCCCAACACCCATGATAGGCACGTAAACACTACGTTTGCTATCATGGGTATGGAGATTTAGTGTCGATTTGCTGGTTGCTGTCGAATGTTCAAGGGAATTCGGGTGTGGGAGATGGTGGTTAAGGGGTTGACGTTGGAAAAATAAAGTGGGTGTGTACGGTATGGCATCCTTTTGACCGCGAATAGTTGTATGATTTAGCACAAATCTCTTTCAGGATGTATTATCGCATCGTACCAAACATCTATGTTGTAGCAACAATTAGGATTCCAGTTGAAATTTTTACGCAAAGTATCGTGGTCGTATGCTATTCCACCGGGTTCTTCTTGGAGATGGATACCTCAAGAATCCTTGGTTCTCAACAGATACTCTATATGATCAAATAACCTGGAAGTTTGTGAGATGCTGACATAAGAGTTCGCGCTTCCCCGCGCTGTACAAGTAATATCTAGCGACATGATTCGACCCTTCGAGAACACGAAACAGTAGTGGCAAAACAGAAGTGTGATAAATCATGTTATTGTTGGAATTATGAGGTGACTGAAATCGTACACCTCAAAAGTTAGGATGAGATACTTCTTTCCCACTGCAGAGTAGGAAGAATCAAGTAACGAAGGGCCAGCAGTGACAAACGATCGGATCGATCGAGCGCTCACACCCAAAGTGGAATTCGTCTCGTGCAACGGAATCAACAATTGATAGGCAAGTAAACTATCGATCATTAGTTGATCATTCACACCGTCCGTGAAGAAGTGATAGACCCATGACCCACTTATATCTGTATGCGCCACAAGTGGCTTATGACGCGGCCCTTGAAAACCTGCCTTGATTGAAGAAAGGGGCAAGACCAATCAACGACCTCGCTCGTTTGCAACAAAATTCACTCTTGGAGGGAATTATGGGGCTCATGTCTCACCAAAACAACTGTGCCTCTTCTCTGGAGCTCTGAGGCAGAAGGAAATTCTTCCGGACAGAGCTCCGGCCCAAGATTATTTGATGTAAATCACAATTTGCCAAACCGACATACGTCAGACTGATAACTGGCTCCTTAAAGGCTCTTTCCGCGCTCCAGTTTGGATCTTGGGCTCCTGCTCTTTGGTGAATCAGACTCAATGAACATTAACTTTCAACAATTGCCGACACTTCTATTGTAATCCAGACTTGCTCACCTGGAAGGCCGGAACGATACTCCGCTTCGTTGACGTTATAAATTCTAGCCATCACACCACAAACGGACCACTTTTTTGGAACTCACCAACCCAACAAACGAACAGACAAAATACAACACCTCATCTCCTCGCACACTCTAAACAAAAGTAGAAATACAAACATGAATCCTACACCAAAAAATCCTGAGCGCGCCTTTGCTCTCCAGAAGTATCTACTTCTACACTCACAACACGATGCTATTGTCAAACGCCTCAATTCCTTACCTGGTTCTTCAACAAATTCCCCTACTCATTCCCCGAACGGCCATCGAGGATTCTCAAGATCACCATCATCAGAGTCTGAGGAGAGCTTTGATCTCTCGTCCGAGCCGCCTGTAGGATTTCGACACCACCATCGTGGAGGTAGCATTCCGACATCAAGATTTCGACCACGTCCACAACTGAGAACCCGAAGATCATCACTCCCAACCGTCATCGACGAAAGCATTCTCCACGAGATCGAGGAAGGTCAATCGAGACTGAAGGACGTCAATCAACAAATCAAGACCACGTTGACGGATCTGTTGAACTGTGAAAGCGTACGGAGTGATAATCGGTATCGGAAGTGGGTGATGGAGAAATTGATGGCCGCGGAGAAAGAGTTGAAGGAAAACAGGAGTCTAAGCTGTGAACGACGAAAGAGCGTGGACTTCAACGGCATGGGATTTTGAGTGGTCGTCAACACTGGAACGTGTTGGAGGACTTATGGAGTTTCCGATGGAACTGGATTCGGCATTTGTTTTCCTTAGCGTTGGGACTTTTTGAGGGTGATGGCATGGCTTTATGACTACTACAACGATACCCAGGATTCAATTCCTTTTGGCAGATTCATTCTTGCAATACAATGTTTTGTTTTTCCTGTCTTTTTCGTCAGCTTGATGATATCTTCTCAATATTTCCTGTGTGTTGTCGACTCAAATGTGGTTCACCCTTGAACCTGCAGGCGACAGCGGGTCAATTTCGATGGACTTGGAAAAAGCTTGCTGATATTAATTGCTTAATTCGTTTCAAAGTTTATTCTCTGGAGCTCGCAAGGTTCAAGCGAATTGAGCCTCTTGGATGACGGCTCTCAACGGCATCTGCATCACGGCAATAGTGTCTTATCGTGCGATCGTGCGTGCAATGGATAACAACTCTCTTATCCTCAACATTTTGCCCGATTCACAGCATCACCCTGCCAAGCAGAGCACATGCCAGCGCCGGTAGCGACAGATAAACGTGATTGAAGCTCGCCCAAAGCAGACTAGCCCCTCCCAATCCCTACATCATCACAGGCTGGATTCCGCTGGAAAGATGATGGTGTGAATCAATTGGTGTTTCGTCCGCGGTCAGAGACCGGACGATCCAGCATCCGTACAATAGCCACACCCACGGGCATGGTCGCTAGGATTGACTCTCAAGGCTCTCCCAGATGCTTCCTTCCCACAATAATGTTATCGCTTTAATTTCATTCACGGTGGAGTTTTGAAACTTGACTACTTAGCTCATTCTTTCTGCTGGTCAATCAAGCTCTGTACTTTCTTCTGTGGTGCTGGTGCCTTTCTCATTCTTCTCTTTTCTCCCAGTCTTTACTATATACGGTACTACCAGACAGTTAATCATGTCCTCTTCTGAGATGATTGCAGTTCCCCCCACCCAAAAATCGGCTCTCTTCTCCTTTATCAAGGTCAGTACACAAAGTATACTTTAAGTCCGGGTTTTGTCACACCACCGATGTTCTGTTCCACGATACATTAATTGCTAAGCTGACTTTAACATAGTCGTTAGCTTCATTCAAAGGCGACCTTTCTTCAATCACCGCTCCCCCCTTTCTTCTATCACCCCAATCCGTGGCAGAGTACTCGGCCTTTTGGGCAGAACACCCAAGTTTATTCGTCGCAGCCTCTCACGAAGACGATGCCCAGAAGCGCGCGTTACGTGTCCTGAAATGGTTCTTGAGCACACTAAAGGAGCAGCACAGCAGCAAAGACGAAAATGGGAAGCGCAAGCGAAAATTAAAGCCTTTGAATGCTTTCCTTGGAGAGCAATTTCTAGGGAAATGGGTCGACGAGTCGGGGACAACCGAATTAGTGTCGGAACAAGTTAGCCATCACCCGCCTGCGACGGCATTTAATGTTTGGAATAATGATCATGGAGTTCGGGTATGTTTTCTCCAATTTCAGCCTGACAGGAGAGATGGTCTAATGCGTATTTACAGTTGCAAGGATTTATAATACCCAAGGTTACTTTCAGCGGAACTGTCAATATAGATCGTAAAGGATACGGGATTATGCATATCGATAAATATAATGAGGATCACTTAGTGACGATGCCCAAAGTCCATGTCGAAGGACTTGTGACCGGTGCGCCATCACCAGAACTCTCAGGGACCTCTTACCTACGGAGCAGCTCGGGATACACCACAAAAATAGAATACATTTGCAGAGGCTGGATCAGTGGGACGAGAAACGGCTTCAAGGCGACTATCTTCCCAGATAACAAGGAGAACGAACCAATATATATTGCAGAAGGCATTTGGAGCGGGACATATACGATAAAGGAGGTTAAGACTGATACAATCTTGGAGACTTTTGATATTGATACTATACCGAAAACACCTTTAAGTGTTGCGCCTCTAGAACATCAGAACTCGATGGAATCGCGTCGTGCGTGGAGACATGTAGTGGATGCTATCAATGCTGGAGATATCTTTGCCGTCGGCCAAGCGAAATCGAAGATTGAGAACGAGCAGAGACAAATGAGGAGGGTAGAGAAGGCCGAAGGGAGGGAATTCCCTAGAAGATACTTCACAAAGGTTCCAGGAGATCCAGTGGCCGACAAGCTAGTTAATGGCTTGAAGAATACATCGATCCTTGGAGAAGCTGATGCAAACCAAATGGTCTGGGTCTGGGATGAAGAGAAATACCAACAGGTCCAGGACAATCTGAGGAATCGGGTCAAGAGTCCGACACATGCTCGATTTGACTCCGCTGTGTCGGGAATGGATATTAGGGGTATGCCACCTGTAGTCTCTTGATAAGTGACATTTTTTTGTACGTTCTAGGCCTGGCGCTTGAATTTTATGAGGTGGATTTTTTTGGTGGAGTCTTTTGGAAGGAAGTGGAGTATCTCCACATGACAGGATCAGTCATGAGAAGGAGTTTTTTGTGCCCTTCCTAGGTAGCTACAGATGTACATAGGCTAATGAGAATGAACATAACATTATACATACTACACTACAACCCATTTTCGTGTAATCTTACTGCATCAATTTCAATTGAACGAGCTAATCGCGGAAAGCTGCATATTCTTCGTAAATGCAAGCCTCTATGAGCCACATGGTTCTTGAAATCTCTACGAGTACGAGTACATGATAGGAGGAGTGTCTGAGTAGAGCTGTGGATCACCAAGACAAGCTTTCTGCGAGTGCATATACTCGATCATGTGTAGCTTTTCCACACATCCGGGTTACCTTACCACATCTCTGGAAACTTTGAAGGCAAACATTCACCTGGCCAAATCCAGCCTCTTACGTAGGAACTGAGACCCCATTGGGTGTCACTTCACTCTTTTGTCCACCCTTCACTGTCCCATGCCCCACAATACTTCTTTCTTTTCAGAGGTGCGTTGACGCAATGCAGGCCAGTGGCCACAAGGCTGAAATGATGTCATAGGATACCCCTCGTAGCTTCTCAAAGCTTCTCGTGATCCCACGAAGCTTGTTTGCTGGGTATTCACGACTGGATCTGGATCTGGATATTTAATCGGAGCTCTACTTCTCAAGATCCTCTTTCTTTTCTTTCCTCTGCATCTTCAACGAACATCCTATGAACTACACAACCTCGTATCGAGTACATCAATAAACACAACTCTACTTACAAACACAACACAACAAACCAACAAGACAACATCGCAAGTATGTCTGACAAGAACACTTCCACCGCTCAATCCTACATTGACTCTGCCACGGGTGCAATCCAATCCGCAGTCGGCAGCGTCTTTGGAAATCCTTCGGATGTGGTATGTAACCACAACTTCTACCATTATATCAAACACCATCTAACGTGAATCTACAGAACGCCGGCGAAGCCAAGAAAGACAAGGCAGAGTTCGAGAAGGACGCCTCGCACGCAACCGCCAAACTCGGTCCCATCACAGCCTCCTCTTCTGGCGCCGTTACCAAGGACGATCCCAACCGTCAAGAGGGAGCCTGGAACCAAACCATCGGATCTGCAAAGGAGACGATGGGAAACTTGGTTGGATCTGAGGTATATCCTTACCTCCCTCAACCTATATAATTTACAAGTTTAAGTGCTGATTTGATATGGGATAGAACCTCAAGCGCGAAGGAGCCCAACAAAACGCCGAAGGCAAGGGTCAAGAAGCCGAGGGCCAACTCAAGGACTACGGCTCCGGCATCGCTAACCGTGTTTCTGGCGCTGTTGGCGGTGCGGTTGCGAGTTTGACGGGTGATCGAGAGGCCCAGCTTGAGGCGCAGGAGAAGCATGATGTTGGGAAGACGCAGCAGCGAGGTGCGGAGCATGATATTCAGAAGCAGAATGCATAGGTTGAGTATCGACTTGTGTTTCTGTGGATGAGGGGTTGTATGATGGGATGAATGGGAATGGGAATGGACATATGGCGGCATGGAAAATGGGATATGGGATATGGGCACTCGGATGGATGGGGTTTAGCATGGCTTTTGTGATGCGGGAGTTTCTTTGTTTTTGTTGCGAGATTTGCTTGTGGGATTGCTGGTAATAGGAATATACCCCTCTTTGACATGACTTGGAGTTTATTTTGGTGATGTTGATTGTGTACTTACCTCAGTATAGCAAAGGATTTTATGATTAATTCCAAAGTAGAGCTGTTTCGTAGCGGCGTATGTGCCTTGAAAGTAGTTATAAACGTCGGGCACAAATGTAAGTACTTCGAGATGACCTCCGCGACTTTCCGCTACTAATCCCACAAAAAGATATCCCAAGGTTTGAGTGGAGGGTCGATGTTCCTGGAAGGCTCATGGTGAACAAGGAAATAGCGGTCGCTGTTATACCGGTGCTCGTATTCCGTCAACGTTTTTAGTGCGGCGCTAGCCGGGGACCCCTGCAGGGCTCGTGCCCTAATATAAGTGAATTATAAATCGATTCACTTAATATATTATCTACAGCAACCGTTGACTGATTACCTAATATGTACACTTTTGAAGCTGGTGATAGTTACAAAGTCGGTAGTTTGATATATATTTGTAAAATTCAGGGGAAACTACTACAAACTCTATTAAAGAGGGGTCATTTCCTAAGTTATTTGTAGCAATTACTAATCTTCCTGCTATTTTGCTAGTAAAAGTTGAACTTATTTTAGTTACAAATAGGACAAAACCGTTTCCATCCTACTAAGTGGGTTATTTGCCTTAATTATACTCCTCTAACCCTAACCTCTAACCCTAACCTCTAACTGCTAACCCGCGTGTTTTACATACTAAAAAATATCCTGTATAAGAATAAGCGTCGATTTGGGTATTTAAAGTCCTTTGAAACCCGTTAAGTTCCTACTCGTATTCGTCAGCGATATTCTACTTAATATAGCTCTAATATCAGCTACACAAGGACTTACTAATCCACGAGAAATTACTTAGTATATACAGATTACTCCTCTTTTGTATTAGGTACGATAACAACTGTTGAGGATAGGAGAGATTAGCTAGCCACTAAGACCTACACTACCTACGGCTCGTCAGCTTTTCCTAAAGAAGTAGGGGGATTTGTATAGGAGTTTTGGGGATACGGTACTTTGTTTAGGTCTATTAGTTTACGAGTCTTTTTATGTACTTTAGTAGGTTTTGTTTTACAGGTTGTTTTAGTAGAGTTTTGGTAGTGTTGTTCTAGATTAGTACAGTAGGTGGGAAGTGGAAGTGGAAGTAGTAGTAGGAATAGAGTCTTGTTTACTATTGTTGTTGATTCCCCTATGTCACGAGTTTACGTACGAATTCACTATTAAATTAATGCGTGAATCGAATAATCGAGAATGCCGGGGCCCTTGCTAGTGCCGACGCCACTTTGCAGGGATATATTTGAAAACGTTGACGGAATAGTAAAACCCTGTTATACTTTTCTACTTGTAGAGTAAGTGAATTACTTCTACCTTCTGTACTACTCGCTTCGTTAACTTTAACTTTAACTTCGAAAGAGGGAGTGCATGGGGGTTACAGTACTTATTAAAGATTTCAAGACCAAAATAGCAATGAATTTATTGACTCTAGTACTTATTATAAATTTCCATTATCCTTAGTATTCATCAACAACAATACATCCCAAAGGTCATCTGTATACAGCGTAAAAAATAATTAGAATAGGATAACCCATAGGGTCCGGTTATAATTGTTCTCATCAATAGTATCTCCTACTTATAACTGACGACTTGATTACCTATGTAATCCGATTTAATCGATTAATACGGCCGGCGGAGCTCTCGGTAGATAAGCGATAGCCCCTATTACATATACTCTAAGATATATTTGTTATACTTTTCTTATGTTACAACGTTTCTTAAGGGTGAGAATAGGAATATATTGGCGCTTTAGTGTTTGAGGAAAGAGTTAGAGCATTGTTCGTTATTTCTTTGCTTTTATTTTCTTGCTTTGTTATTCTTTTATCCCCTCAAGGTGGTATATGTACGTACCACTTTTCAAGCTCACGATACCTACCTTGCACCTACTTTGTACCCACTTTGCGATTTAAGCTTTGCGATTGTTTTAACGTTCATATAAAGCTTCACAATTAACTCTTGAACTCGAGTTAAGATGTAATTTGTAATTAATTTGTAAATGTTATAATTAAGGTCGTTATATAACGTAAAATTAGTATTTATCGTACATGCTATAAATCGCTCTTTCCGTGTACAAATGGCTAAAAATAGTCCCCTAAAATAGTTGGAAAAGGTGTATAAAGTCGTGGGAGCAACTATTAGAATTTGTAGATAAATCATCAGAATTATCTTTATTAAAAACTCGCTTTAATTACTTATAAGAAATAATGTCTTTTTTTCCATTACCACTACCACCCCCTCGATTCAGGGCCCTTTTGAGCCCCCCTGCTTTTGAGCCTGTTCCTCTAGCTTCTATACGGGTGATTCTAGTACCAATTATTACCTTTGTTAGTTTCGAAGTACCCTTGATCCTTAACACTAGAATCCAAAGGGTATAAAAGTAACGAGACGAGAGTGTATATTTTGCGAAATACCCTTGTGTAAGCGTTGTTTTAATAGCTATTATAGTTATTCCGGTAATACTATTATAACCAGGTGTCAAGAAGGGGAATCTAATAAAGTAGATAGAGAGATGGACTCGAGTAATAGTAGGGATTCTAATTAGTATAGCATATTCTCATTTTTAGACGTTCCTCGCAATAGCTTCAAATTTGACTTTTTGATATACAATTATACTTAAAAATAGTCTTGTTTTACGGGGATTAATTAGTAAGGTAGGTATCGTGAGCTTGAAAAGTGGTACGTACATATGCCACCGTGAGGGGATAAGGCCTTTTAAGTATATCAGTAGTACTTTATAATATATTCCAGTATTGTATTTGATTAGAATAACTACGCTGAACGCCTCTTAATTGATTTTAATTACCTAAAACTATTACGTAAAATCAAATCAAATCAATCATGATTTGGTCGCTTAGGAATCGATTAATTGAGCAATTTCTTCTCTCGCTGGCTGTGTGTTACCGGAACTAAAAGTTCAATTCTTTCAAAGCAGGAACAAATTCAATTACTCTAGGGTGTGTTATAAGCTTCCATTACCCTTGGTGTAGGTCAACCGAAATATATCCCAAAGGTCAGCTGTGTGTTTTCGGCACTGAAAGTTCATGCTGAAAATGCACTCGGTACCCCGCATTCTATTATTACTCACAGTACTCAAGCTCTAAATTAAGCTTTTATGTACTGTAAAAGTCTTCAGAAACTCTCATAAGCGAGCCCATTATCAGAGAATATCAGCCTCAAAAAGTATTCGGTTCGGAAGCGTATGTATGTGAATCATGGTAACCAAATTCAAGTGTATTATTGTTTTTTCTCTATTCAGCCTTATTATTAAACTCTTATTCCGCCGTGATACGGAGGAACCAGCCAAATAGTTTATATCACCGCCTTTGCTGACGGACGTATGTGCTGCTGCTGAATAGTTCTGATAGGCGGCAATAACGCCTCCAGCCGCATCCGTAAAACTGCCAAGAACTACACCACTCGGGTTTAAGACGGATGAGAATTATTATCTCATCCTTCATTCGCCTATGATCATTTCGACTCATACGCGATTATGGTTCCAAGGTTCGACACCATCGCTGGGCCACGTTTAGCTCTGACTGTGCTCGTCTGACCAGAAAGGGCAGGAAGGGCAGGAAGGGCAGACGAGGGCGGCTCGACCGAACTTGGAGATTCGTGGAATCCATCGAATGGGTTTTTTCCTTCTAATTCTGGGCGCATCTGGCGCTCTGTTGTCGACTCATAATCTTTCAAGTTCAATCTGGTCTACGTGTATACTATCACTCTACGCAGGTGGACATCAACGAGGCTGATACCAAGCCCTAGAATTCAGCCATTCCTGAACTTCTGCAAGCCCATTCTAGCCTCGGATGTACGACTGTTATTTCCACCACATCTGTTAAGTGTCTTTGACTCAGCGGACGTTCGGACATGGATATGGAAGTAACGTCTGACAAAGCGTACTCGTTTTCTTCCAGTACTTTTATTTAAACGGCAGCCTTCTGGATTGATACCTGGAAACCGCTCTTTGCAAACGAAGCTTGTGGATTAAACCATCGCAGCTATGATTGATACAGATTCAAGATCGGCGACGCTTGCAGAGCCCGCAGGCGAGAACTCACAATCCCCACCAGAATCTTTGAACAAGGAAGAAACGGTCAACGACAAAACGACAGATACTGACAGAAATGTGGAGGAAGAAATCGTTGAACATGAGGTGAAATATGAAACTGGTATCCGGTTGACGTTTATCATCATTGCACTTCTTCTCAGTATTTTTCTGGTATGACGTCTGCATTCCTCAACTAGCTTTTCCACTAATACGGATAGGTTGCGCTTGACATGACAATTGTTGGTACGGCAATCCCCAAGATTACGGACGAGTTCAAGGGTATTGATCTTGTTGGGTGGTATGGGAGTGCGTTCTTTTTGACAGTCGGTGCTTTTCAATCGACATGGGGGAAAGCATATAAATACTTCCCACTGAAGACTACTTTTCTTACATCTATTGCTGTTTTCGAATTGGGCAGTTTAATATGTGGTAAGTGCATATTTGGACTCTAGACCTTGAATCTCTTCTTAGTCTATTACTAGGTGTTGCACCCAATAGCACCGCCTTAATTGTTGGACGTGCAATTGCTGGACTAGGTGGTGCTGGTATTGCTTCAGGATCATACACGATTATCGCATTCGCCGCACCTCCAGCTCAGAGAGCAGCTTACACTGGATTCTTGGGTGCTGCTTATGGATTGGCATCTGTGGTGGGCCCATTACTCGGAGGAGTATTTGCGGACAAGATCACTTGGAGATGGTGCTTCTATATCAACCTACCAATTGGAGCTGTTTCTGTGGCCATCATTCTATTCTCTTTCACCACGCCTGCACATGCCGTTCCCGCCAAAGCATCACTCCTGGAAAAGTTTCTGCAGATGGATCTACCTGGAGCTTTTGTTATCATGGCAGCTATCATCTGCTTCCTCCTGGCTATCCAATGGGGCGGACAAACAAAACCTTGGAACGATTCAGAGGTCATCGGTCTATTAGTCGGATTTGGGCTCATACTCATACTCTTCTTCGTAATCGAATATTTCCAAGGCGAACGTGCCATGATAGTTGGACGTCTTCTCAAAGACCGACATGTTAGCGTCGGAATGGGATTCATTTTCTTCTTGGGCGGGGCGTTCTTCATCCTCTTGTACTTTCTCCCAATCTACTTCCAGGTCGTATCTGGGGTTTCCGCATCCCAATCAGGTATCCGCAATCTCCCACTCATCATCGCGGTAGTCATAGCTACCATCGCTTCTGGTGCGGCAATAAGTGCAACTGGTCACTACGTCCCTTGGCTCATTGGAGGTTCTGTCATCGCAACCATCGGAGCAGGACTAATCTACACACTCGACATCGGAACCTCATCAGGCAAATGGATCGGATATCAAGTCCTCGCTGGTCTCGGACTAGGCGTCGCCTTCCAAGTCCCCATCATCGCAGGACAAGCAGTCGTCGCAGCCTCCGACCTTTCCAGTACCACGGCCATGATCCTCTTCGCGCAGACCATTGGTGGTGCATTCTTCGTGTCGGCCAGTCAAACCGGCTTCTCCAATGAATTACTAAAAGCTCTCCCTTCGTTCGCTCCGTCTGTCGATCCTAAACGGGTTCTCACTGTCGGGATCACAGAGATTCGATCGTCTTTCGCTGCGGATGAGGTGCAGGGCATTATCAGAGCTTATATGCAGGGCCTGCATGTTTCGTTTGCGTTGGCGATCGGTTGTGTGGGTGTGTCGGTGCTTTTTGCGTTTGCGAGTAAGTGGACGAATTTGAAGGGGAAGATGCAACCTGGTGGTGCGGCTTAATGTGTTTGTATGGGGGTGTAATGGTAGATGGGGTTGGGAGGATGTACACGTGGATGTAATATGATGCGTAATGTTAGGTCGCTTAGCGGGGGTTGTGGTAATGACGGGATCGTATAGACTGGTAATTTGGGGACATAGATTTTTTATTGTAATAAAAGTTCAACTTCATCTTCAGATTCCGTGGGATAATTTGATTTCTTGAGTGAAGTTTCTTTTAATTCCAGTGTTCTTATATTAGTCAGCCACGATATCCAGATTTTCGCTAAAGCGCCTCTACCATAGAGCAGATTTTCACGACTTCGAAGGTACTACAAGCCCTTTCACATAGTGTAGTACAATACCCAAGCAGAATCTACCTAGGTAGCCCAAGGAACATAGCCCTTATTTAGTGGGGTTCGCCTAAACAGCGCACCGATCGGTATTCCAAGGCGGGACTTGCTTAGCGGGGAAAGAAAATTTTCAGATCCACCACTCTTCAAGCAACAATCAAGTAGTGCAATAAACAACATGATCACAACAAAAACAGTCCACACTGCCTGGCTAGCTCAATCGGTAGAGCGTGTGACTCTTAATCACAAGGCTGCGGGTTCGAGTCCCGCGTCGGGCTCAATACCCGTCAGTTAATGTCTGTTCGTCTTTTTTTGGTGATTTTCTTAATGGGGGGTTCTTTTTGGATGTTTCTAGAGAGAGGGGTTGGACGTGGGTCTAGGTAAAGTTAGTATGCTTTTTTGGAATCGATTAAATGGTACTCATGGAGGCCCGTGCTATCTCTGACATAAAAGGGAGCCACTTAGCTATGTCTACACTACAAAACAGCCAAAAATCATATTCCACTAACCCCAACTTCTAGCCCTAACCCCAACTCTAACCCGTCTACCTTTTTATTTCTAATCCTAATAGTAAGAAAATAGTAGGTGTTGTAGTAGTATTTTAGTAGTAGAGAAGAAGTAGGACGTCTTGTAGTGGCCTGTGCATAGGCTTACACATATATAAGTTATACGTGCATGAGTACCATTTAATCGATTCCGCTTTTTTAGATAGGGACGGTTAGGAGTGAAGGTAAATGGACGGGTTAGATTTGTCTAGATACTTGGTAAAGGTAAGAAGAAAGTACTCTGGTTTTTACTTGACAGGTCGTGATTTTGATAGTATATAAGAGCTTCTTCTTAGACGTGTTTAGAAGCCGAGAATAGTAGAATGTCTTCACCTTTTTTTATCGAGTTCATAGAGATTTTTATTACTACGAATACGAGTACTCGTTACTAGTTTCCAGTAAAGATTTCAAGTTTATCGCTTTCGTATAAATATAAAAAGGATAACTTAAGCCCTCTTCTCTTGGTTTTACTTTCAAGAGGTCTATCTAGAAGAATTAACCATTTCAATTAAGGATAGAATTATGAAAAGGATTAGTAATATACCTTGTAAGTACTATGGGTCGTGTCCGAAGCGGGGCGATGTAGGATTTAAAGTTTCACGATTATCGATTTCATCTTTGGAGATAACCACCCTGTGCGTACCGAACATGAATCGCTAACCAAATCCCACTATACATTACCCTTCGACTAGGTGCTAAGTAGCAGCTCTATACTAATACCTCCTCGATTCCTAGTTTGCACAGCTCTATTCTACTTTGCCAGTTCACGGGTGGAAGATATATACGGTTTACCCCTTTTTCCAAACTTACTTCTTATTCAACTCAACCCCTGAATTTCTGCTCTGCTGACCACAACATGCACTTGTCGTCTTTGTACCAAAGCGCGGTACGCTCCGTACAATGCCGGACGAAATAAGTCCACTTCGCATCTCCATCCTACAAAGTTTTCACAAAGATTTGAAGGCAGGTACTGTAAGACAGTCGGACGAAACTCTGTACACACCCTGAGAACGTATTATACTAGAAGTCCTAAAACTATCAACTTAATTGTCCTAAATGACTTAGATTAATAAAGATATATTAATCTGAATTCTCCTAGATGGCTCGTATAATAATTTCAATTGAACGAGGTTTTTAGAATAATATATTATTCTAACCTAGGTGTGTCCAGAGTTTCGCCCAAGGGTCTTAAATTTTTCTTCAACTAAGCAACTTCATGTCTATACAAAACCTTCGGTACCGGTACGGAGTACAACTCATACATACCAGTGTACAATTACCAGGCCCGTGACCAGACCAATCGAAAGGCCGGATCTCATTTGGACGGTCTCAGCTTGTGAATCTCACTCCTTACCAATTTATCGGGACCGGCATTTCGTCGCATCGATGTGGAGCAACATTGGGTAACCACAACCGTGGGGAATCCACTCAATGCGACGGCCCAATTCATAAGATACAACCAGAATCCCATTTCCCCTTTCTTCCTTTCCTTTTTCTTTACCTTATTGAAGACAATCATTCCTCGGTTTTGATTCTTCAAAGTCATTCGTTTATTCAATCCGTCAGACTAATCAAGCAATTTTAATATACCCGCTAATACTACAATGTATACCACCCTCCTTGCTGTCACCGCTCTTGCGGGGTTCACATTTGCTCAGAGCACTACTTCTCTCTTCCTTGGAATCGCTGGGTCGGATGATCATGCTTTACTTGCCTATCCCATTGCTTCTGTAAGTCAAGTGTTTCTGGTAGTTGGTCTCATGCTAATTCTCACAAGGACAAAACAGCAACAACATACCAGATAGCCTGTCATCCATCAACAAAAAGACACGATGAAGAATGCGCCTATCCCCAAGGTCTCATTCTCACGCAAGGCCCCGCCACCATGGGATTCACAATGACCGAGGAAATCATCCGACACGAAAAGACCCACACTCTTTTGTATGCATTACCTGCTTCCTAGCTTAGCTTCCTCTGACCAGATTTTGAAATACAGCTCGGCAGAAGTACACTGCTCACTCGATTTCACATCAGCAATCTGCACCGCATCCGTCGGCGGCGAAGCAGCCAACTCCCCAGGAATCGCAACAGAAACAGTGACGGGTAACGATTACGCTTTCCAAAAGGTCACCCTCACGAGCAAGATGCCTGCTATCAACACAGCTATACCCACAGCGCCAGATTATATCCGTAGCACCAAAGCGCCCACGGCATCTTCGACCTTCGCCACATCTGGAACGGCAAGGAGAACTGGAAGCTCGAGTGGAAGCGCAACCGCACAAAGTACCGGAACACCATCTGGAAGCGCGAGTGCAATTACATCTCCGCAGAGCACAGCAACGCCATCGCCGCCCTCAAGTTCGAGTCAAGCTGGGGGACAGGCAATGATCACACCCAGACCGGAGTGGATGATCGGAGGTGCGGCCGTGGCCTGGGCATTATTGTGAAGAGAAAGAGAACCGGATAAACGACGTTACGTGATGTATATATACCAGGGAGATACGAGAATATGATTGGCATTCCAACATGACCTTAAAAACCACGATACTCTTTTCTTTTTTTTCTTTCTCCTTTTCTTTTCTTGGAAGTGTAGGATCTACGCGAGTGTTTATTTGCACGCGGAGTTACTAATCCGCTATGCTTTGCCTATTCTATGCTGGTTTACACTTGCTGTTTATATTTGCCCTTCCTGAAGTTTGCATGCTTGGGAGGGGAGATTCTTATACCATATTGCTCTGTGAGATCAGACGGCCTCATATCAATGAGGAAATTTATAAGACAGTTGGGCGAAAATCTGGACCCACACTTTAATTCATATTATACTGCAAATCCTAAATCATTTAGCCCAATTGTCTCAAATCACTTGTGTAAGTTATATTAATAAAAATATACTAATTCCAATTATCCCAAATCGCTTGAAGAACCATGCTAATTATACGAGAATTTCAGAACAACCTCGTTTTCTAACCTAGATGTGTCCAGAGATTCGCCCAACTGTCTTCTGGTGCCAGCAATCTAGTGGTATCCTCTTGCCTCGATGGAGGTTTGTTCCTCGTACCTCGGATCTGAGACTCTTATACTAAGATTGTGGTTCCAGGGAAATAACATCATGGGAGGCCTAGTGCTGTTTGTTTTCGTTGGCAACTCGTCTACTATCTGTGCCTGTCTGACTTAAATTTACACCAAGAGATTTTCACTTCCGAGATATATAACACTCCCGCAGCCAGTAGGGACCACCAGAGAGCTTCGGGTAGACATTCCTTCAAGGCCTCATGAATTAATACAGTCAGGTCCAACGACCTCGCTTATTTGACCAAATACAGCAAGCCGCCCAACCATACAAACACCACATCTCACCACATCACAGCAAACAAAAACTCCCCAAAAATTTCAAAAACCACCTAAACCCCCACACCCCCACACCCCCTACCC